GAGCAGAGTGCGATATATTCTGCTTCAGCAAAAGAGAGGGCGATTAATTCCTGCTTGCTCGACTGCCAGGAGATAGGTCCGATAGGCTCGAGGCGATAGATGTAGCCGGTGCGCGAGCGTCTGTTGTCGGAGTCGCCGGCGTGATCGGCGTCGACGTAGCCGATTAGTTTAGGCGCTGTAGTCGTGTTCTTATGGTAGGTCAGGCCGATTGTTGGAGTGCTGACGAGGTAGTGAAGAGCGCGGTCGAGCTCCGCCAGATGTTCCGCTTCAGGTTTCTTGAGGTAGGTGGCGAGCTGGCTTGCAGAGTACGATAGGTCCGGGCGGCAGGTGACAGCTGCGAAGAGGAGGCATCCCAGCTTCCTCTGGTAGTCGCGTATGCCGGCGGGCTTGAGTAGAGCGGAGCCTTCCTTGTGGTTTTCTGCCGTGTAGCGGTATGCCGGCGTGAGTGCGAAGCGCTTGGCGATGGTATTGGCGTATTTCGCGGCGTTGAGGTAGATCGCATTTTCTTCTTCCTGGATGTTGAGGCCGAGGTACTGTGTGACAGTGGACGAGACCGTGAGTGTGAGATCCTTTTGTAGCTCCCCTTCGAACCAGGTAGTGACGCTGTCGGTTGAGCCGATGTAGAGCAAATCGTCTACGTAGACGATTAGCAGGATGTAGTCGGTGCCCTTTGTGAGCTGGTACATGCCTTGGTCGTGAGGTAGCTGGCGGAATCCAATGCGAGTGAGTCTTGCGTGTAGGTACTGCTGCCATAGCCTTGGGGCTTGTTTGATACCATAGAGTGACTTCAGCAACTGACAGACTTGATTAGGCTCTCCGTTGGAGCCGTGCGGTAGCTCGACGAAGATTTCTGCGTCGACGGGTGCGTAGAGGAAGGCGTTGGCGACGTCAATTTGCCGCAGCTTCTTTTTCTTCATGGCGGCAATCGCGAGGAGGATTCGCAGCGAGGTGTGTCGGCTGACCGGAGCGAACGTTTCGGTGCCATCAAGTGGGTTTCGGCTGACAGATGGCACCATTGACAGTGGGTTTTCGTAGAAGATGACATCACGTGCCGCTACTGTTTCCTTTGTCTCGACGTCGAAAATCTTCCATGCGTTGTAATGTTTTTCGATGCCCAGGTGCAGTCCCCACTGTGCGCGTTGGGAGAATCGGCCAGCTCGTGCAGATGGGGGCCGCTACTGTACCATGCAGCCGAAGACTCTCAACATTTTTGTGCTGCCCAGTTTTCCTGTCCACAGCAGATGCGGTGATGCGCTGTTCGGGAGCGATGATGACGAGAGCAAGTTGTGCAGCATGACGGCGTGGTCCATTGCTTCGGGCCACTGGTGGTTGGGCAGGTGCATGCCACGTAGCAGCTTGCGCATGGTGTTCTGGAGGGTCCTGTTCATCCTTTCTGCTACACCTTGCTGTTGATGGGCGTAGGGGAGAGAGATGAGCCGCTTGATTCCTCTCTCTGCTAGGTAGTCCTTGAAGCGTTGTGAGGTGTATTCTCCTCCTCCGTCTGACTGGAAGCTCTTGAGTTTTACTCCGGATTCTCGTTCTCCTACTGGAAGCCAGGCGACGAAGGCTTCGAAGGCCATGTCGCGGCTTGGAAGATTTAGGTGCCAGACGTATCGTGTGGCAGGGTCGATGAAGGCGATGGTGTAAGTGTACGCGTTTTGTCCTGGCTCGCGGTTGTACAGGATGTCGCTGTACACCTTTTCGAGTGGCGCGTAAGCTGGTGCGCTTGGGTTGTGGTGAGACGCGAACGGTTGATGTGGTAAGTCAGCTTCGGGACATGTGAAGCATGTTCCACGGGCTCGCTGAAGTTCTCTGCCGTCAGTTAGGAGTAGAGAGTCTTTGTCGAGCACGCCTGCTCTTATCGTGTTGTTTAGCACCGTGTTGCTTGGGTGACCCATTCTTGCGTGCCAGGTTCCTTCGGTGGCGCGATGTCCGGGTGAGCGCCGATAGATGTCGGAGTTGGAGTAGAAACCGGCGGTGAAGTTGGCGCTTCAGTGGACTTCTCGTTGAGTCGGTGTTAGCTGCTGCACGGGTGTTGGTGATGTATCGTCGGTGAAGATTGGTGTCGTTGTTGCCACTGCTGTTGTTGTCTCTTCTGCTGCCGATGTTGTCTCTGCTGCTGCCGGTGTTGTCTCTGCTGCTGCCGGTGTTGTCTCTGCTGCTGCCGATGTTGTCTCTACTGCTGCCGATGTTGTCTCTGCTGCTGCCGGTGTCGTCTCTGCTGCTGCCGAATGTTGAATTGTCGCTAACGCTCTTGTTCTTTCTGCTTCAGGAACGGTATGTGAATACCAGAAGCCTTCTGGACTGAAGTCGGGGTCGAGATCCGGTGGATGTGTCCAGGAGGTGAAGGCGACGATCCCGTCGCTGTCTGCGGTGCCGAGATCTGGAACGAAGTCGAGGACGAAGACATTATTTTTCAGGACTGCCTTCCCGATGTAGAGACCTCCCTTCCCGTGATACAGCTTGAACTCCTGGGTGGTGCTGTCTGCTTCGAGGTGGATACCTTTCGTCATCAGTTGACTGACGCTGAGTAAGTTGTAGCCGAGGCCTTCTGCTATTAAGACCTTCGACATCTGCAGTATGACATTTGTTTCTCGTGACTGAAGTTGAACCACTCCTTGTCGTCGTGTGCGCAGGTTTTGGTTGTTGGCGACGGTGATGATTACTTCGCGTTGGAGTTGGTACTCTCGCTGCACGAAGCGTCCTGAAGAGCAAATATGCTGTCCGCAGCAACTATCCAAGAACCAAGTATCCTTTCCGGATGGTTCGCTTTGGGCGATAGCTGCATACGTCGGGTTCGGTTGAAGTGACTCGCGGCGGGGCGTACTATTGTCGAGTTGCTCTTCCGGTGAGTAGTGCGGCGGTGACTCGGTGATGCAGGAGTCGGTCAGTTTTGCCATGCAGCTGACGATGTTTCTTGCTCCTTGTGCAGATTGTGTTTTTGAAGGCTGCGACTGACTCGTGGGGTTCGTCTGCGTCGATGCCACTTGGCTGCTTGAGGGTCGAAGCTGCTGTTGCGGTGGAGTTGACTGTTGTCGATTCGGGCAGTGTGTGTGTGGGTGTCCTGACGTTTTGCAGATGTGGCAGAACGGAGGTACAGGCTTTGGTTGTTGTCGATTGTTGCTGTTGTTGTAGCGTCGCTGAGTGTGGAAAGCGAATTCCGGTGCTGATGTCTTCCTCTTGTGCCTTTCTTCTTGCAGGTCCATGTCTTGTTGCTCGGCATGAATTTCAGAGCAAAGTGCTGCTTCGGAGATTCTTCCGTGAGCTCGGAGAATGGCTTTTGTGGCGCGCCATTGAGGACCGAGGCCGCCGATGATGATTGTCACGAAGGCGTCTTCAGATATCGACCCTCTGCATCGAAGGAGTTTGTCGCGCAATTCGCGACAGCGACTGATATACGCCATCCCCTTTTCCCCTGGTTTCATTTCGACTGTTGTCAATTGCGCCATTAGTCGACTCTGATTTACTTTGTCTGTTGCTTGATACAGGTTTTTCAAGTGGTTGTATGCGAGCTCGGCGGAGTTGCCGTATCCCCGGTAAGACCGTATATTCTGTTGCTGAGTCGGGGTGATATTCCTCAGTAGGATTGTGTACGCCATCATTGACTGATAGGTGTACTGCTGCTTCTCGTACTGTGTGCAGTTTGTTGGGTATGGCAGGGATCCGTCGAAGAAGCCGAGGATTTGCGCGCCTTCCATCATCAGCTCGAACTCGAATGACCAGGTAAAGAAGTCCTTTCCGTCGAAAGGTCTTGACGTCTGCAGCTTCAGAACGTGCGCGAACTGCGACTGAACTTGTAGCGCGTCCAGTGTCTTCTCTTGTCCAGGTGCAGGCTGCGGTTGTGGCATAAAGCTGACGGAGCCGCGCTGGGGCTCGTACGGAGCAAAGGTAGGTTGCTGCTGTTGATTTCCACGTGCGTAGGATGAACCATCAAGGCTCATTGGAGTCACGTCGTTGTTGTTGTTGCTGTTGTGTGACTGCGCAGGTACCGATTGCTGGTGTTGCTCGTAGAAGGACATGAAGGAGAAAAACTTCTCCATCATGCTCTGGTCGAAGCCTGCAGGTTGATTCGCGGGAGTCTCGGTGGATGTTGCCCTGGGTCTTGTTGCCGTACCCTCCTCTGTCTGTAGGCCAGAGGCAGGAGGTGGAGTAGGAGTAGTGCCGGGAGAACCAATAGAGGAACTCCTTTCCTTCTGAGTAGCCATGTCTTCTGATGTTGTAGGTGTCTTGATAGTTGAATTCCCCCTGATAGCTCTCATACCATGTTGGGCTGAGAAATAGCCCTTAGGATCTTTGCAGGGGTGAACTCTGGGTAGAACTGATGTAGTAGCGGAAGCGTTTAATGAAGAGTTGTGAACCACCTTGCGCTAGTATGTGAGGGCAAAGTTGATTGATTAAAGCTAAGAGATACAAGATTATATAAGAGTACAAGGAATACGAAGAGATACGATTCCAACTGTTTTCCTGTTGCTGTTGCGGTTCGATACAGTGACGACTCGGGCAACTGCTCTGTAACGAGTCAGTTGTGTCCTTGCTGTCGCGCTGTACTTGTCAGGTCAAAGGTCGCTGACCTTTGACTTTCGCGTAACCTCCAGCAACTGCTCAACCTCCGAGGGTTGACTCGCCAGTGCTTCGATATGTTTCGCTTCGCTTCTGACTTGGTGTTTCGGCACGACAGAGGCGCTTAGAGTTAATTGTTTCCAACAAGCACCAATTTCATTGAAGAAATCAGCTACAGCTACCATACGGTACCATACCATCTGTGGAACCTGGATGATTCAGGAAATACAACTCAACTCACCATGACAAATACTACACATCACGAAAAAAAACTAAACACCGTTCATCAGCATAACCACCATCAGCGCAACAGCAAGTCACCGTCCATCCGTCAGCATGACAACCATCAGCATAATAATATCAATATTCCACCACCAGCACAAGAATATTTGTGGCCGCCTCACTCTGAGCCAATACTCCTCAGACAGGCATCTAGGGTATTAGGCTGCAGCGGAGGCAAAGAGCTTGGCCACCTCACTCCAAATGGCCCAGGGCTTGTCAATGAGATCAACGGTGTAGTTGATGTGATGCTGGCTGGGCAGAAACTCAAACTCGCACGGAATCTCCGAATCCACGTACCCGTTGGTAAACGCCATGCCAATCGACCCCTTCACCTTGAGAGGCTTCGACGCTTGAAATGGCGCCATAGCATTGAGCCGGCTGAGTCCCTCTGCCATCGGAGAGAAGTCACTTAGGGTAAACCCGAGGCACGAGGAGCTCACATCGGGGGGCTGGTTGGGCAAACCACCCACGGTTACCATGGGCACTTTGTGGCGTTTCCCCAGGATGTGCGTGAGGATAGCACAGGAGGAGAAGCAGTTTCCGTCCGACAGGACCAGGAAGGGGCGGTCCCCAAACACCGGCTGCGTTACATTCCCGGTGAAATTGTCGCTCTTCTTGAACAGCGCTGAGTAGTTCCCGGCACGGCCGGCCTTTGTGAAGCGGAGCTTGCGGAACGGAGCGTAGTCAAAGGCGCTTGTGAAATCGGTCCCGTTGAGGTCGGCGTTATTTGCAACGAAGTAGTGCGTTGCAGGGTCGAGGGAGAGCATGGTGATGGCATTCTCGGTGAACTCGTTGCCGATGACAAAGTCTACAGGAATCCTGTACTCCGAGTCCGGGACCTTAGCTGCCCCCATGAGCAGGCGGATGGCTGCGAATGCTGCTACGACGTAGCCGCCGCCGTTGCCCCGCACGTCTATGATGATTTGAGTGGCGTTGGATCTGAAAGGGGAGGGGCATAGGGGTGTGATGCATGCGGGCACACATGAGAAGGCGGATGGCTGTGTATGGTACCAGGGTGGAGCCGCCACCGTTGCCCCGCACGTCTATGATGATCTGCGAGGCGTTGGATCTGAAAGGGAAGCACGGGGGGAGGCATGGGGGGAGGCATGCGGGGAGCCATGCGGGGAGGCATGGGGGAGGCATGGGGGGAGGCATGGGGGGGAGGCATGGGGGGGAGGCATGGGGGGGAGGCATGGGGGGGAGGCATGGGGGGGAGGCATGGGGGGGAAGCATGGGGGGGAGGTATGGGGGGGAGGCATGGGGGGAGGCATGGGGGGAGGCATGCAGGGGACACATGGGGGAAGCATGGGGAGAGGCATGGGAGGGAGTGTGGGCTGAGGCATGCGGGGGACACATGGGGGAAGCATGGGGGGACGCATGGGGGAACGCATGGGGGAACGCATGGGAGAACGGACAAATGGGGAACACATGGGGGGAACACATGGGGGAACACATGGGGGAACACATGGGGGAACACATGGGGGAACACATGGGGGAACACATGGGGGAACACATGGGGGAACACATGGGGGAACACATGGGGGAACACATGGGAAAACACATGGGGGAACACATGGGGGAACACATGGGGGAACACATGGGGGAACACATGGGGGAACACATGGGGAAACACATGGGGGAACACATGGGAAACACATGGGGGAACACATGGGGGAACACATGGGGCAACACATGGGGGAACACATGGGGGAACACATGGGGGAACGCATAGAGGGGGGAGGAGGATGGAAAGGAAGGAACGAGCAAGAGGGAACCGAGGTTGGGCAAGTGTTGATGTTAAAAGGAGTGAAATGTCAGGTGAATAGCATAGCATGAGGCAAGGAGTGGGGAGAGGTGAATAGCATGAGGCAAGGAGGTGAATAGCATGAGGCAAGGAGGGGGAGAGGTGAATAGCATGAGGCAGGGAGTGGGGAGAGGTGAATAGCATGAGGCAAGGAGTGGGGAGAGGTGAATAGCATGAGGCAAGGAGTGGGCAGAGGTGAATAGCATGAGGCAAGGAGTGGGCAGAGGTGAATAGCATGAGGCAAGGAGGGGGGAGAGGTGAATAGCATGAGGCAAGGAGTGGGGAGAGGTGAATAGCATGAGGCAAGGAGTGGGGATAGGTGAATAGCATGAGGCAAGGAGTGGGGAGAGGTGAATAGCATGAGGCAAGGAGTGGGGAGAGGTGAATAGCATGAGGCAAGGAGTGGGGAGAGGTGAATAGCATGAGGCAAGGAGTGGGGAGAGGTGAATAGCACGAGGCAAGGAGTGGGGAGAGGTGAATAGCATGAGGCAAGGAGTGAGGGTTGGAGGGGGTAGAAAGGGGGGAAAACTGAGAGGGAGGAATACTGCGAGGGAGGAATACTGACGCTGCTGCGGTTTGAAGAGCCTTGGTGACCTGCTGCACCATGTACTTCTCCTCGTCGGTGTTGTTGCCCTGCTTCAACTCGTCTGACTCTGCCTCGTTGGGAGCGAACGCATGAAACCAGATAACTGCCGTGCTGCCACCCACCAGGTACACCTGCCCGCACACACCCACACACACGCGCACACCCACACCTCCCCTCCCCCTCACACACACTCTCTCTCTCTCTCTCTCTCACACACACACACACACACACACACACACACACACACCCACACACAAAAACGAGTTGCACGCACATGATAGATCCACGTTGTGATGTGTCACATGGCAGTCACTTGCTGTTTCACACCAGCTGGCACACGCATTAATCCCCTGGCGTCATCACATCACAAGTGAACCACCAACCCTGCAAAAACCTTTTCAGTTTCCAGAGTTCACCCAAACTTAATTCTGAGAATTCTTAAAAAACAAAAAAACCAAGCATTCACCCACAATTACTGGAGACAGCTCGCTCACCAGGAAACGCTCATCCTTGGGTGAGATCCTCGTTACAGTCGTCCCCGCTACTGCACCAGAAGAGCCGTCTGCTGCAGCAGAAAACGGCGCAGTGTCGACATTCAGGCCGTCCGGTGCGCCGCCGCTGCCATCGTTGGTATCATCATCATCATCATAGTAGACTGGATCAGGGTGGCGCTTGAGAAATTTGTCTATCACTGGGGTGTCTGCATGTTCGAGTGTGGTGGTTGCCTGCACGCTAGTGCCACTGCCACCAGCGGCAGCGCCGCCTGATGGATTCTTCACGGCACAGTACGTCGCCCAGTAGTCCGTGGCATTCTCGAAGCTACCCAGAGAACCAGTCGCTATCCATGGCACCTGAACGTCCTCCGTCGAAGCGCTATTTCTGAGAGGTGCAAAGTGAGTAGCACAGAGAGGATTAGTCTGGCAGGCGGGGAAGAGAAAGCGTGAAACATGTTCAGCACTTGAAGAATCAGTGCGATAAACGCAGCAAGCAGCAGGCAGTGAAAAAACGACACAGCGCGCGACAGGGAGAGCCAATGAACATCGACTGTCTGTCACTCACTCGGTTGCGAACGACACAAGCAAGGTGTCATTTTCGGGCGCAATCATTCGCCGGGCGAAATCGCCTGGCACCTGGACGATGTTTGTCCCATTCCGCGACCAGTCGCCTTCATTTCTCGCGAAATATTTCGTAAATCGCGCAGCGAGATTGCGATAAGTGCCGCCTTCCTTGTCTGCCCAATTCAAGATGAAATCGTCCGCTTTGTCCCCGTTAATAGCCACCACCTGGGACGATGCATGAAACATTAGCACAGATTTTAAGCATCGGTGTAAGGAACACTACCAGGACGCATTCGAACAAGCTGCTTAAATGGCACAGACATATTTTTTTTACCTTTATCCCACACACAACGTACCTGTCGGCCCTCGTAAAGGTCGAAGTCAAATTTGTGCAGAACCTTTGCAGTATGTCTCATCCCCTTGGGAGTGACATCTGCCATCAGTGATGGCCAGAGGGAATAATAAAGAGGATAAGTGTACGCTTTTGGAAAGAAGCGTAGTGAGGAAGGAATATCGTTGAACAGCTGGTACAAAACGAGATCTTACTTATACTGCATAACCGATAACGAAAAAAAACAAAAAACAAAAAGGCCTGACACTCGCATCGGCGTGGCGCAACGCGAATGATCTGCTGCCCGTTTTCGACAACAGCCATGAGCGGCAACGGCAAGTCGTAACTCCCAAAGAAGCAGCTCGACAAGAACACGCTGTGCCCATCGTTGAGCGCCCAGGTCGCTCGGCGCGCCGCCATGTGCGCGTCCACCAGCCGCGGGTACTTTCCCGCTTTGGCGTTCGCAACGATCTTCCGCAGCTCCGCGACAATATCGATGCTGCTCGGCAGGTTGGTCTGGTCCGGCGAGTCAACGGCGATGTGCTTGTACACGTAGTGATTGTCAAACGCGTTCGCGATCGATAGAAGGTCCTCCACGTCGCAGTCCTTCCTGCCAGTGGGAGATCGACCGTGGCAATCGTACAACCGCAAATCAGGCCGACATCATATATGAGCCCAGCAAGCGTGGAGTTCGGGCTTAGTGAATGAGAAAAAACAAACAAAACCTTTTCACAGTACATGAATAGCAGCGGTACAGTACCTGAACAGGAACGTGGAGTGGCACGCGCGGAAGAGAGAAGGAGCCGCGAATCCTTGCCCTCCGGTCTTGTTCCCCAGTTCTCCGGCAGTACGCTTCAGCTCCGCCGCCAGCGCAGCACACGGATCGCGCGTGGCTCCGGACGCGATGAAACGGTCCACAGGGACGGAGTCGTAGCACGACTCCACCGCGGGAGCCGGCGCCGGCGCCGGCGCCGCCGGGGCTGTCGTCGGCACCGGCGGGGCTGGCGTTGGAACTGCTGGAGGCGGCGCGGCAGCGCTCCCCGATCCGCCGGATTCCGCGGCAGCGAGCGCGGTGGCGGGGAAGAGTCCGTCGTTCCAGAACCAGCGGCGGGCGGACGCGGAGGGCGCCTGGAGCAGCAATGCGAGGACGAGCACGGGGAGAAGCCCCGCCGCGGTGGAGAACGCGCCGCCGCGCCCTTGAGTGACGGCCCGACGCGAGGCAGCCATTGCGCTGCGGCAGATGGGGGACTGGGTCGGCTACGAGTGCAAGAGAGTGTCAGCGGCGGTAGCAACGCACGCTACTTGTTGGTTAGGAGAGAAAACTGCGGGAATGAACTGTGAGGTGTGGATGGCAGAGCGAGTAAATATACTCCCTTGGGAGAGCAGAGCACGAGAGAGGATTTTGGTTCGGAGCTTCGGCGCGAGTCGGGTCGACGATTTTCCGCCGCCGCGACGCCGCCCATGGTGTGCGACGAGACCCGCTCGGTCGCCCAGTACTAGAGCAGGGGCGAAGTGTGGCGAGCGTCCGAGCCGAACCTGCCCTGGTGTGGAGAACGGACTCCAAAATCCCTGATTCGTCTTGCCCCTACGACACAGCCCCACTGCCTTGCGACGGACTAATGCCATGCGACCTCACTACAGATTGGAAGGGCGAGGCGGCTCCGCAAGTCTTTCGGATAGGTAGCTGGTGGGGAGATGTGCAAGACTTAGGAAGTCTTGTTCGGGTTGGTAGACTTGTAAAACAGAGTAGCTGTGACTACTAGAGGGCTGGAAACTTGGCTGGAAAGTCTTAGCAGGGCTGCTGGAATTGACTGGATGAGGTAAAACTTCACTATGTTCAAGATTAACAAGCCCACTAAAGCACAACTCTAGGCATCACAAACAAGACAGATTGAAAGCTCAAACTAGGCTGATAGACAATGTAACTTCCCTGGTAACTTGGGCACAATCTAGATTGGATGGACCTTGAGTGACTTTGAGTGCCACATGAGGTGCATGAATAAGAAAACTCTGGATATTTCTGTTATAGCTGATTCTGATGTGTAGAAACCTGTAGAAACTGCCAACACTTCGGTTTGAAGGCAGCTTTGAACTATATCGAGTCTTCGGCTGAAATCTGATTGGTGGTGGAACTTTCGAAGTACTTCCCGAAGCTCTGATTCATCGCCGACATTCCCCCTTGCTGCTGCTTGTGTGCAAAGGGCTGGGGCGGCAGAAACTCGATTCTCCAACACTCCCCCTCGCACCAGACCCGAAGCACACATACACCCATGCTGATGCTCCTTTCACATCTCCTTAGCATACACTTCATGCTGCTGCCCACGTCTCTTCCCCTCACACTCCTCATTCTCCTCAAACTGCTCCACTGCTTCATGAAGTGTCATGAGGCCTGCTCTTGCCTTGCACATGTTGAATGCATCATGTGGAAGAACCTTGGTCATGAAATCTGCTGCTTGATCGAATGAACGGCAAAAGTTGACGGCGAGAACTCCCTTCTCTAGTTGCTCACGAATGAAGTGGTACTGCACCTCGATGTGTTTTGTACGCCCATGATGAACCGGGTTCTTGGAAAGAGCTACGGCTGAAGTGTTGTCCACGTAGAGCGGAGTTGGTTGAGTTTGCGGCTGCCTCAATTCCTCCAAGAGTCCACGTAACCAGATTGCCTCCCTTGCTCCTTCGGTCATTGCCATGTACTCAGCTTCGGTTGTTGAAAGTGCCACACAACTTTGCTTGCGCGATTGCCAAGAAACAGCGGCACCACACATGAGGAAGATGTAGCCGCCGGTAGACTTGCGTGTGCTCAATTCTCCCGCCCAATCTGCATCGGTAAAGCCTTGGAGGGAGCTTGCATATGGGCTGGCTTGGAAGAGAAGACCATGATTAGAAGTACCTTTGAGATACCGAAGAGCTCGCTTGGCTGCATGCATATGAATAGGTGAAGGGGCACTCATGTGTTGAGCTAGCTTAGATACCGTGAATGCTAAGTCGGGCCTTGTGCATAGGGCTGCATACATGAGACACCCAACCTGACTTTGGTACAGAGCTAGGTCTTGTGGGGATACCTTAAGTGAATTCTCACCATGATGCTCACTCTCCTCAAGACACAACTCTTTAATACCTATGATATCAAGGCTTGACTCTCTCTCTTCATAGGGCTGATGTGAAGACAAAGGGACAAATTTGGAAGGAAGTGGGGTAGGTGATGGCTTGCTATCATCAAGACCAAACCTCTCAAGGACCTTTTGGATGTACCTTTGCTGGAATAGGAAGATGGACCGTGACTTACGATCTCTCACAATGTTCATACCAAGATAATGACTCGGCTCACCAAGATCGGTCATCGTGAATGCACTCGTGAGAATACCTTTCACCTTGTTGAGAAGATCAAGAGAACCTGAGACTAGGAGGAGGTCATCGACATATACCAAGAGCCAAATGTACTCCCCCTCACTCGTGTGCATGAAGTACAGAGCGTTGTCTCTCATGGACCTTGTGAAACCATGCTTGAAAAGTACCTGCTCAAGAGCATGATACCAAACCCGTGGGGACTGTTTGAGACCATAAAGGGACTTTACCAAGCGACACACTCGACCCGTACCGTCATCATAACCTTCGGGTTGTGCCATGTATACCTCTTCTTCCAAGACACCGTAGAGAAATGCGTTCTTGACATCCATTTGATGGATATGGAGACCAAGATATGCGGCTATGGCGAGGAGGACTCGTACCGTGGTGTACTTTGCTACCACGGCAAAGGTTTCGGTGAAGTCAAGACCTGGAATTTGGGAATAACCTTTTGCCACTAACCTTGCCTTGTACCTATCGAGGCTACCATCACCTTTTACCTTGATCTTGTACACCCATTTGACACCAATTACCTTCTTCCCTGGAGGTGGCTCAACAAGACGCCATGTACCTCGCTTCATGAGACTCTCAATCTCCTCTTCCTCGGCTTTCAACTAATGCTCTCTTTCGGGACTTGCCATTGCCTCACGACGACTCAAGGGCTCTCGCGGAAGGTGTGATGCTGCCATGCATATTGCCTCTACCTTCTTGTGAATGCAATTCTCACTCTCCTCACATGTGCACCTTGATGACATGTCAACCATGAAATTGAAGGGCTTTTTTACCTTGCGGACTCGTTTACCTTTACCAAACTCCTCAGTTGGCTGAGACACATTAGTGGTAGGGTTCGGTCTCACAGTGTTTGATTGCGTTGATGCGGTCATTTGCGGCTGAGACAACGGCTGCGACATCGGCTGCGACGGCGGCACGGCTGCTTGTTCTTCTCCTGGCGTGGAAATATCTTGATTATCGGTGTTGACTTGAGGATTAGGTATGGTGACTCGTGGCGGTGAAGCTGAAACGTTTGTCGGCATAGTTGGTTGTGAAGATGCTCTTGGTGGGGATCTTGAGACTAGAAGCTTGGGAATTGATGATGACGCTGCCTTGTCGAGAGGTGGTGATGGTTGGGGCTGGTTGGTGTTGTTGCTCGGTGTTGAAGATGGTGGTAACTGATGACGACCGAATCCGGGACGTGGGGGTGAAGTTGAGAAAGGTCTTGGGTGAAGAAGTGGACTGTTGGAGCTGGTGTTGGTGGTGACTCGCTGAAGTGATCCTCGTGCTATGAGCTGGCTTGACGTTGGAACAAGTGATGAACGTGTGGTATGAGAACGAGGTGTTGCGGTGACGGTTGACTTGTTGCTAGGAAGAGTCGTAGATGGTGTTGATGTAGGTACTTGGGGTCTTGTAGCTGTTGATTGCTGCTGCATGGGATGATGATGAGCTTCTGTAGTTGCCTCTGGAGTGATGGCTGGTGATGGGTTTGATGGCGTAGTGCTGGGCTGATCCGGTTGGCGTTGAAATTGTGAGGTTGGTGTTGATATAGCTGGCTGGTTTGTGACTGTTGGCTGCTGCTCCTTTGGTGGTGATGGAACGGTGACTTGCTGCGGTGGATTGTCTTCATTTGATGGCTGAACTTCATCTCCACTTGGTTGAGTAGCTGCTGGTGGCACTGGCGTGGCACGGTTGGACTCGTTGACGACGGCTTGAGGGAGATCGATGATCGGTCCGCTATGGTCAGAATCGGTGTCATCTTCTTCCTCCTCTTGTGTTGTTTCCTCAGGTGCGCTTGCTGGTTCCTGTTGGATAGAGGGTAGAGAGGAGGAAGAGGAAAACTTATGCCAACCTGCAAGGGACATGTCTTCATAGAAGACAACATCCCTTGAAACCACTTCTCGCTTGGTGACAGGATCCCAAAGGACCCATCCCTTGCTCTCATTGCTCATGCCGATGAAGAGGCCCCAATGAGCTTTGCTGTCCAGCTTGAGTCTCTTTGCATCTGGAACACGGTATTGGGCCATGGAACCAAAAACACAAAGCATAGACAGATCTGGTTTAACTCCAAACCAAGCCTCATATGGCGTTACACCTTCCGGTAAGGGCCTTGTGGGTCTCCTGTTGCGAACATAAATTGCCATAGTGATTGCCTCACCCCACCAGAGCTTGTCAAGGCCTTTGAACTGAAGGAAAGTGGTAGCTATAGCCTGGATAGTGCGATGAAACCTCTCTGCCACTCCATTTTGCTGAGGACTATAGGGACAAGTGAACTGTTGTTTGATGCCCAATGCCAACAACTCCCCCTGAAACGCTTTCCCCATGTACTCACCTCCTCGATCCGACCTCAAGGTGAGTAACTTCTTCCCTGACTCTCTCTCAACAAGTGCTAGCCATTGCTTGAAACACTTGTGAACTTCATCCTTGGTGTTGATGAAAAAGGACCACGAGAAACGACTCTTGTCATCAATGAAAGACACCAAATATCTCTTACCGTTTCGAGTAGGGTCTCGCATGGGGCCGAAGACATCAGTGTGGACCAACTCTAGGAGGTCCCTTGACTGAGACTTAGAAGGGAAGAATGGCTTTCTAGCTAGTTTACCTTCCACACAAGATGGACATGGAACGGAAGAAAGGGACTTGACTGCACTTTCATTCAAACTCAATCCTTCCACGCTCTTGTGATTTACCAACTCTTTCAATGCTTGCACTCCCACGTGCCCCAAGCGTGCATGCCATACCTCAGCTTGGGAGATACTCCCTTTGTTGTTGACTTGATCGGTTGAAACAGCGGGAAGCGAGACAACGTCGTTCTTCGTGTTGCTAGCACCGCGCTTAATCTCCAACTTCATCTTGTAGAGCCGCCCGGTACGCTCGCCTTCAGCCACCAGATTTCCTGCACTGTCCCACACTTTGGCTTTCCCCCCTTGCAAGAGAACGGAGGCACCTTTCTCTTCGAGTTGTCCGGCTGAGAGCAAGTTTGCTCCCAAATCAGGAACAAACAAAGCTTTATTGACACAAAATGACTTACCATCCTTTTCGAACTCAAGCTTGCCGACTCCTTTGATTGGTACTTTGCCAAGATCAGCAAGAGTCACAGCTTTTGAGTCATATGAGGGCTGAAAATCCTTGAGAATGGACTGATAGGGAGTCATGGTTTCAGAGCAGCCACTATCAAGAATAAACTCCTCACTACTAGTAGAGAAAACGTGCATGCAAGTAGCAGCGTTAAAAAGGACAGGACCATCGGACTCTTTGGACTCATCTTGACTTGTAGAATGACTTGCTATATTTGCTATGGCTGCCTTACCTTTTTCAGATAGTAGCTGAGGTGGGGGGACCCAATTAGGAGGCTTCTTAGGACAAGCATACCACGGGTGACCCCACTCATGACAACAAAAACACTCAAAATTAAACTTTTTAGCATTCGGGGCTTGGCTGAAATTATTGACTCTTGGCATATTGACTCTTGCATTCCTAGGCTGGTATTGATTGGGAATCGAAGGCCTTGGCTGGACATAGTGACTGGACTTATAGGGAGGACTTGACTGAGGAAAACGAGAGGGTTTGTATGGGTTGGAAGGTGACTGAAATTTCGTACCGTAGTAGGGTTGAGGGCGGTTTGGGCTGAAATTTCCTTGCCTCTGGAATTGGTTGCCATATCTTGTGGCTGCTGCAGCACTCCACGCACCTTCGTCACTCCGCTTGTTCCGTGCAAGGTCTCGACTCTGCTGCTCGTTGACAAGGGCCTCAAAGATGAACGCACGACTCTTCATTGACTGCGGGAGCGCTTGTAGTGTTGCACAGAAAGTGTCCCACTCCGGTGTAAGGCCGGTGAGGATGACGGTCTTGAAAAGAGACTCTGGAATCTCCAAGCCGATCGCTGCTGCTTCCTCCAGCATTGCTTCAGCTCGTTGTAGGTAGGCTTGTGCTGATTCATCTTCTTCCATCTTCAGATTCATGAAGCGGCTCCACATCTCGGCTTGGCTGGTCTCGGATTTTGAATGGTGCATAGTCTTCAGTCGGCTCCATGCTTCCTCTGCACTGTTTGCCTTGGTAGAACAGGGCAGGAGCGACTTCAACTGCTGCTCGTGAATGCTATTGAGTAGGTAGAGGAAGGCCTCCTTGTTGCGTCGTTCGTAAAGTCGTTTTTCAGCTTCTGAAGCATCTGCTGCTGGTTTGGCTGCTTCTCCAGTGTAGTAAGGCCACAGATCCAGAAGGGATGCAGTGAGCTCAAACTGAGTTGCCCATGTTGGAAAATCTTTGCCGTTGAACTTGGGGAGGTGAAGCTTAGGCATGAAGGAGGTGAGTGGTGAGTATGTTGCTGAAGGACTGCCTGGTGCAACTGCTTCCACTAATCCAGTAGCTGCTGATGTTGACTCTGAAGCTCCTCCGGCTGGCTGGAGTGCAGGACCAGATGGATTGTCTCCCGCCATGTTCGTATGGTGCTAGGATAGGAACGTGGTGGGCTAGGTTGATCGAAACGACAAGCTCTGATACCAACTTGTAAAACAGAGTAGCTGTGACTACTGGAGGGCTGGAAACTTGGCTGGAAAGTCTTAGCAGGGCTGCTGGAATTGACTGGATGAGGTAAAACTTCACTATGTTCAAGATTAACAAGCCCACTAAAGCACAACTCTAGGCATCACAAACAAGACGGATTGAAAGCTCAAACTAGGCTGATAGACAATGTAACTTCCCTGGTAACTTGGGCACAATCTAGATTGGATGGACCTTGAGTGACTTTGAGTGCCACATGAGGTGCATGAATAAGAAAACTCTGGATATTTCTGTTATAGCTGATTCTGATGTGTAGAAACCTGTAGAAACTGCCAACACTTCGGTTTGAAGGCAGCTTTGAACTATATCGAGTCTTCGGCTGAAATCTGATTGGTGGTGGAACTTTCGAAGTACTTCCCGAAGCTCTGATTCATCGCCGACATTCCCCCTTGCTGCTGCTTGTGTGCAAAGGGCTGGGGCGGCAGAAACTCGATTCTCCAACACCTCCCTGACTCAACTGCAGCATTCACCGTTCTAGAGTTGTACAGCGACCCTTGAGTTCATCCGTCGACTTTCCGGGGAAGGACATTTTCGCTGGAAGCTGAGCAATCAATGCACGGCAACTGATCGCAAGCAGTCAATTTGGGTGTGCCCCAGAATCTAGGGTTGCCCACTTGTGCGCTGGCGCTTGGCTTGTGCGATCAGGTACACGTGGCAATCCCCTCCATCCCTCGCTTACTTGATAGGAGCAGCCGATTTGCCCGCTGCCCAGCTTCCTCCCCCTCCTCCCCAACCCTGTCTGTCTGTTGCATCTCGGTCGTAATTTTTGGGTAAGTAGCTTTGGCGGGGGTATTACTAGCGAACTTGCGCTTTCCAGGGAACTACAGTGCTAGTTGCGGGCACTCTCCGCCCCTCCGTCCCTCCGACAGGAAAGTTATTGCAACAACACAGAACTCAGCTCCACATACACCCACGTGTCACACATTCGCAAAACACTGGAAAAACCTGACCAAAAAAACTAAAACCCAATCGGAAAGGGATGCGTCTCGGGGAGACATCAACCCCAAAAAAAATGCGGGTTCCCGTGTTTAGGGTTGATCCCTCCCAAAAATGAGTCCAGGTTTCCTATGGGTTAATTTTTTTCTGCCCTGCGCTCTCAAAATTTTCAGAATTTGTGAAACGTGGTTGAATGTGGGACCGAGTTCTGTGCTGTTGCCATAACTTTCCATTCTGAGGGTCAGAGGGGTGGAAAGTGCTCGCAACTAGCACTGTAGTTCCCTGGAAAGCGCAGGGTCGCTAGTATTACCCCCGCCAAAGCTATTTACCCGTAAATTTTGAAACACAACACGACACTGCTGCACCACCCTTCATTGACGTTCTTCGCTTCGCATCGCAGTCGTTGTTGTGACCATCATTCCGTGTCCTTCTTGGGAACATCGAGCACGCTACAGTGCATTCCCTGCAAGATGATCCAACTTCCCCCGTCTTTCTCTCCTACGCCATCTCGTCCCACATTTTTCAAGACTTGTCATGCGTTTCGGCTTGTTGTCTATCATCATCATCGCAGTCGTCTGAAGAGTAGTTGTGCGAGGAGGAGCCGTCGTAGGCGGCTAGGTCATGTATCATCTCTGCGCACCTAATTTACGATTTTATTTGCAGCATGGAAACGAGATAGCTGAAGCTAATAGACAGACCGGCGCTTATTCTGCTGTCGGCTATCGCATTCGAACTGTGAGACTGACAGCTCGCGTCGAAAACCCTGTTAAGTCGTTATAAAACTCCCGTAAAGTATATAATTAAATCCACTTGAAGCTCGCGTCGAAAATCCTAGTTTTAGAGATGATTTCCAGATTTCTATGATGGCGGAAACTTGTGTGTTCGCATCACCTCCCGCGGAATCTTCGCCCGACGTGTCCGAGCATCTCAGCGCAAGCAACTCCGTTCGCTCCACGCGTCCCCAGGAATACATGACGCGAAGGCAAGCTGCGGCTGCCGCCGGTACTGTTGACGACCGGAAGGGTTTCGCCGGCAGCAGCGAGGGCAGCAGCAGCTGTGCGGCTGTCGCAAGCCTGGGAGCTTCTGACGGTTACGATTTCGCTGCTGCTGACCCCGCGCGGCGAGATGGTGGCGAGAGTAACCAGGAACCTCCCAGTTCGTGGCTGGACAGGAAGCTTTTAGAGAGAAACGACCGGGATGATTCCGAAGTGGACAGTCTAGTGGGTTCTGACGGAGTTGGTCGTAAGAGGAAGAAAAGCTGGGTAGGCATTTCGCGTTTATGGCGGAAAACGGCAAGGCGACGCGGCGGGAAGGAATCGCATGCTTGCGACGAGGGTGATGGTGATAGTAGCGAAGGGGCCAGCTCTAGCGACGATGGATGGGAAATCGGCGGAACGAGTTACCGCAAATGCGACAAGGGGTCGAGGTACACCGAGAGAACGGCGCTACGGAAATGTGATGGACACTGGGAAGGAGACGAGGAATGGGAGGATGAAGAGGAGGACGACAAGGGGGGGGGAGAGGAGTTAAGTGGGAGCACGAGAGAGTCCTGGGTGTCTGCCGTCGAGTCGTTTCTCTCCTGGCCGCTGCGCGCTCTTACGCACGCATGGCGTCTGGTAGGTTCAAATGCGTGTGTTTTGTTTGTTGTTTGCCTTTTCATTATTATTTTTCGCCTGGTCGCGCCAGCGGCGTTAACCACGCATGCACTGGGTGCTCTTCCTGTCTCCCAGCGCCGCGTGTGCTGGGTCTTGGCCGTCAGGGCGCCGGACGCGCGCGCTCGACGAATGCACGCATGCGACGGATGCACGCATGCGACGAATGCACGCATGCAACAAATGCACGCATGCGACGAATGCACGCATGCGACGATTGCACGCATCCAACGAATGCGCGCGCGCGACGAATGATCTTTGTGGAACGAGTGCTGCGTGTTTCACGGCGTCTCATCTCCTCTCCTCCGTCTCTCCTTGCTTCTGTCGAATTTCGCCGCTGACTAGCGCGGGTCCGCTGCTGGCGACTTTTGCTGATGCGCGCATCGCTTCTCTTCCCCCTTACCACCCCATCCCCGCCACTTCCGCTTCCCCATCCCCCAGCGCATGTGTTGGATCTGGGCAGTGATCAGTCTCGACGGGCTAGCAGTCGTCTTCGCGCGCGTGCGGGCGCGCGCAGTGGCAGAGAAACACTCAGTGTCCCTCTTCCCCCTCCCCCTGTTCCCGCTCCCTCCCCGCCGTCATCCCAGCGCGTGTGTTGGATCTGGGCGGTGATGAGCGTGGGCTTGCTGGCGATGATCTTCACGATCGTGTGGACGCAAGCGTCGAAGGAGCAGCAGGCGGAGCGCGAGGGGCAGTGCGGCGAGTGGGCGGCGTTCATCGAGTCGCACTTCAACTCCACGCAGGCCAACACGCGCGCGCTCGCCGAGTTCGTCCACGCCTACTACATCGACGGGTACGTTTACCATACGAGTGGGTGGGTATGCCCTCTACGTCATAAGGTGTCGCACGTTTACCATGTCAGAAGATACGCCCACAATCTCCCTGTCACTCCCTTGTCCCCCCCTCTCCCCCAATACCCCACCCCCCCCCCGTATCCACCCCCCCACACTCCCCATACACACCTTCCCCCCATCAGGCGCGAGAGCTTCTTCCGCTTATCCAAGTTCCTCAAGTTCAGCTCCTCCTCCTCTGCATCCCACTCTCACTTCATCCCGCATCCCCTCCCCCTGATTCCCCTCTTTCCGCCTATATCCCCCACTCTCCCCCACTCACCTTCCCCCCATCAGGCGCGAGAGTTTCTTCCGCCCGTCCAAGTTCCTCAAGTTCAGCTCCTCCGCACTGCACGCCCGCCCCGTGGCAGCATGTGAGTTGCCTCCCTCGTCCCCCCATCCACTCATCCACCCATCCGCCCATCCGCCCACCCCAACCACCCCAACCACCCATCCTCCCACCACTCGCTCTTTCTACTGCTGCCTCGTGCCTTCACTCATTTCCTCTCCTGCCCTTCCTTCCCCATTCTGCTTCCTTCCGCTTTCCTCTCCATCCCCTCCCTGCCCCGTCAACCCCCGTCCTCCAAACTTCCCCAACCCCCCCTGCAGTTGTTGTGGGCTATGCTCCTCGAGTCAACACAACAGCACGGCTCTCCGCCACCACGTAGCAAAGAGCAGCGCCTGCAGGGCTGCCTCATCGCAGTGAGCGCGGAGTTCTCCTGCCGCCCGCCTGGCCTGCCTCATCACACTCACTGCACCCATCCCTCCCCCTCCCTGTCCTTTCGAGTGAACAGCACGGCCCTGCGCAGCCACGTGAAGCGGCAACTGCAGGGCTGCCTCATTGCACTCATCGTACCCATCGCACCCACCCCTTCCCCCCCTCTCCAGTTGTGGGTTATGCTCTCCGAGTCAACAGCTCAGCCCTGCGCAGCCACGTGGAGCGGCAACTGCAGGGCTGCCTCATTGCAGTGAGCGCGGAGTTCTCCTGCCGCCCGCCTGGCCTGCCGCTGTACGTGCCGCTGCTGCTGGGCACCAGCAGCAACGAGGGGAGCAGCGTGCGCCGCCTTCCCCGCAACCGCACTGCTGCCGGCGCTGACCTGCTCTCCGGTGAGCCCGAGCTTGCGATTCGACTCAAAAGATCGCTTCTCAAAACCACCCCCCCAACACCGCACTGCTGCCGGCGCTGACCTGCTGTCCGGTGAGCACGCTGTCTTCTCTTGGCACGTCATAGATCCTCTCCTTCACTCTGCCCTCCACGCTCGTTCTCTTGGCTCCCTGCGCTCGTCGACTCATCTTGTCACACCTTCCCACCACTTCCCACCCGTCCCCCACTTCCCCCTCCCCTTCCCCCCACCGCAGACCCCACCCTAGCAGCCATGATCCGCGTGGCAGACACGGGGCGCAGCAACGCCATGTCACCTCGTCTCTCATCACCACTTCCAATCACTTCCCACCCCTCCCCACTTCCTTGTCCCCTGTCCCCATCAGACCCCACGCTGGCAGCCACGATCCGGGCAGCAGACATAGGGCACAGTGGCGCCATGTCACCTCCGATCCCATGACTCCTACTCACTTGCCACCCCTCCCCCATTCCACCCTTCCCTTCCATCAGACCCCATGCTAGCAGCCATGATCCGGGCGGCAGACACGGGGCGCAGCGGCGCCATGTCCGCCCCCATGGCATCCCCAGCATCGCCCTTCCACATGGTGGCGCAGGCCTTCCCCGTGTACGACGCTCATGACCACGGCCACGTGTTCGTTCACGTGCCTGGTGCTGCCTCCACCACTGCTAATAGCACTGGTAGCAGCAGGAGCGGTGGCAGGAGCGGCAACAATGGCAGCAGCGGCAGTGGCAGCAGCAGCGGCAGTGGCACAGAGGGTAGTGGTAGCACCAGCAATGGCAGCAGCGGTTCCATCCCAACCAACTCCCCAGACGCACATGCACCCACTGGACCCCCCCCTCACCCCCACACCGGAATCGACCCATCTGCACCGCAGAGCTTTGAGCCCGACTCGCTCGACGCACTCACCAAACCGCACGGCTTTTTCATCGCAGCTTACTCCTTCCACACGCTCCGCCTCGCCCCCAACTTCGAGCAGCTTAAATCCCTCCCTCTTCGCACATACCTTGTAGACGTGACCAATGAGAGCAGCCCAGCTGTGCTGTTTGGGCCGGAAGGGACGGAGGGGATGACGGGGAAGCAGGCAGGAGTGTGGGCGGCGGTGGCGCATAAGAGACGAGTGGTGCAGTACCAAGGGCGCGTTCAGTACCCCATGTGGTTCGGCGACCCGTCACGGAACTTTGTGCTTGTTTGCGAGTGAGTGGGCTGCCTGGGGCTCAGCGTTGCTTCTTTCTGTCTGTTTGCCTTTGTCTGATCCGCTCTGTCTCGCTCTGTCGAGCCCGCCTTTTTTGTTTCGTTCTGTCTGCAGGTTGTTTGTCCAGCTCTTAAAAATCCCAAGAATCTGTCTCTCAAGTGCCCGTGAAGTGCCCCTTGCGTGCTTCTCATTCTACCTCTTCATAGCCTCGAATTTGCCTCCCGAGTGCATCGTAACTGACTCTTTATATCAACAAACCCCCTTCCTTCCCCCTCGCAGGCCGGAAGCCAACGCGAAGCCGAGCCCGCCGTTCGTGTGGATGGTGGTATCATTCATCATCCTGGCGATCTCAGTGCTCGTGCTCTGGATGTCCGTGCACCTCATGGCCAAGCTTGAAACCGACACGCTGCGAGTGGAATCAGCACAAGCGCAGCTCGCGACGGCCAAGGTGGCGGCAGAGGCGGCGAGTCGAGCTAAGAGCGACTTCCTCACCACCATGAGCCATGAGATTCGTACTCCCATGAATGGCGTGATTGGTACGCTTTCAGTTACCATATACTAGCAGCCCCCACAATGCTTGGACCCTGCATTCCTGCCTGCACAGCACATCACCACCACCCACCCGGCCGGCACACGTTAACCTTGCCATGCTGAATCTGCTTGCGCCCTTCATCTCACATCACAGCCGCCTTCACCCTACCTCAACCTTCCCCTCCCCTTCAGCCCACCTGCTGCACTTCTAGTCGCGGCACACCTGCTCCTCTTGAGTCGGACACACTCCTCCTTCCAACCCTCCCTCCCCTTTGTCAATCCCCCCCACCAGGCATGCTGAACCTGCTGATGGAGACCCCTCTGGACGGCACGCAGCAGGACTACGCGGAGACGGCGTGCAGCAGCGGGCGGGCGCTGTGTGCGTTGATCAACGACATTCTCGACCTCTCCAAGATCGAGGCCGAGAAGCTCCGCCTCGAGCGCATCCCCTTGAATCTGAGAGCCGAGCTGGACGACGTGCTTGCACTGTTTGTGGAGAGCGCGGAGGAGAAGCGATCGGTGGAGCTGGCAGCCTTCGTGGCTGATGATGTGCCGGAGACTCTCGTCGGGGATCCGCTGCGCATACGGCAGGTGAGTAAATAAAACTCAGCAATTGTTTGTTTGTTTGTTTGTTTTAGTTTTTTTTCCGGTGGAGATTTTCTTTATTGCCATTAAACTCACGTTGTTTCCATGCATCCCACTTTTACACTAGACCCATTAGAACATTGCTACCTTTAAAACCTGAAGTTCAACTGAAAATATCGCCAGTGCCCCTGTACCCCGCCCACACTGCCCACCGGCGCCCCCCTCTTCCATTGACCCTCGTGCCCCACCGCGCTCCCCACCACCCATTTTTTGTGAGCGAAATTTTAGCAAACAATCTCCCTCTTTTCTCCCCACGACCCCTCGGCCCTTTTAATCCACCACAGATCCTGATGAACCTGATCGGCAACGCGTTCAAGTTCACGAGCACGGGGCACATCTTCCTCGTCATCCGCCTCGCTCTGCCCGACGATACCGTCCACTCCCTCGCCTCCTCTGCCTCTACCTCCCTCCACCATCACCGCCAGCACCTGCACCACTCGCAGCACCACCAGCAACACCACTCGCATCACCAGCACCACCACCACCACTCGCACTCGCACCACCAGCAGCACCACCACTCGCACTCACACCATGGTTACCATCGCCGCCGCAACAGCGATCCCGACCGCCACTGGAGGAGCATGCTCGAAGAGCTGTCTGTGTCCTTCCATCACCACTCCCACCACCACCACTCCCATCACCATTGCCGGCACGCTTCAAGAGAGGAAGGCAGAAGCGGAAAGGCAGCACCAGGAGCACCCGAAGAAGCAGTACCACCAGCAGCAGCAGCAGCAGCAGCAGCACTGACGCTGAGCGGGCGGCCGGCAGTGCACACGTGGTGCTCATGGGAGGCTATGGGCGGCACTGTAGACCTCAGCACCGTTGGCACCGGCACGATCAGCACCAGCATTGGCACCTGGACCGGCACCGGCACCGGCACGGCCAATCACAGCTGTCAGCAGCATGGCATGGCGAATCACACCTGCTCCAGCGACGCTCAATCGCACCCAGTGTGTGCAGGGCAGGCGGTGCAGGGTGTTGCAGAGAGTTCTCACGTGCACCCAGCGTGCGGAGGGCAGGCGGTGCGGCTGCTGGTGGCGGTGGAGGATACAGGAGAGGGCATCCCCATGGCGGCTCAGAGGGGCATGTTCCGCCCGTACTCCCAGGCGCACGCCAGCACCACCCGCCTGCATGGGGGGACGGGCATCGGCCTCTCCATCTGTAAGGTGCGTTGTGTATGGGGGATGTACGGGTAAGAGAGCATCCCCATGGCGGCACAGAGGCGTTTGTTTCGCCCGTACTCCCAGGCGCATGCCAGCACCCCTCGCGAGCCAGGTGTCGGCACCACCTTCCCCTTGTACATCAACCCTCGCACCTCCTCCCATGCTTCCTTCCCCTGTGCTCCCCTTCCCCCTTGCTGCATGCCTTGTATTCTGTGCAGCGTCTCGTGTCGCTCATGGGAGGCAGCATTGCCTTCACCAGCGAGCCAGGCGTCGGCACTACATTCTACTTCGATATCACGCTCCACACCCCTCCTACCGACACTCCCTCCACCCCTCCGCCCTGCTGCCCTCCTCCTTTCCCTCCTTCCTCCGCCCATTCCTGCCCAGCGCCCTGCCCTCCTCCTCCTCCTCCTCCTCCTCTCGCTCCCTCTATGCCTCTGCTGCCTCGCACCATCTCGCCTGCTGCTTCTGGGCCTTCCTTCACACCAGCTGCAGCCGCTGCTGCTTGCTCTGCTGCTGCTGCTGGTGCTGGTGAAACAGTGGCTGGGAGTGAGATGGGCGTGTGCGTGGTGAGTGGTGGGGGTGGTGGGAGGGCAGCAGAGGGATGGGAAGGCGTTCTTGTGGTGAGTGTGGACGACCGGCCGGTGCGGCATGCCGTCACTCTCTCTCTGCTGCGCCGCCTTGGCATCTGCACCCTCCCCTGCCCCTCCTTCCACCTCCTCCCCCTCCTCCTCGCCCAACACCACTACGGCCTCCCACCAGCTGCTGCAGCTGCACGTGAATCTTATGTGGCATCGACTGCAGCACCAACAGGAGCACCAGCAGCCACGAAGACCAGGAGCCAGCCTCTTGAGGCGCCTCAAAAGAAGACCAGGAGTCAGTCGCTCATCCCCCTCCTCCCTGACTCCAAGAAGACCAGGAGTCAGCCTCTCCTCCGCTTTGCACCTCACCACTGGCGCCATCGCTCCTCCACCGCTGCTCTTGATCCCCCAACTGCTCACCACTGCACAGCCACTCACCCTCCCAGTCTGATTCCTTCTCTTTTAGCCCTACAACCTCCTGATTCCTCCTCTCTACCCCCTGCTCCCACTGCCACATCTGCTCTGGCCCCTTCTCCTTCTGTCCCTCCTGCCCCAACTGTCCCTACTGCTTCTGCTGCTGCGATGCCTTCTGCTGCTGGCCCTTCACCTACTGCAGCCAGCAGCAGCAGCAGCAGCATGCCGCCCAGGCTGGCGTCTCTCCCGTGCTCCATCTCTGCTTCTGCCACCTCTGCACCGCCCAGCGCTTCCACCACAGCCCTGCGTGCTGCTGCGCGTGCAAGCGGGGCCTGTGTGAGCCCATCGATCGCAGCCCCTGGAAGCCCATCAATCGCAGCCCCTGGAAGCCCATCAATCGCAGCCCCTGGAAGCCCATCAATCGCAGCCCCTGGAAGCCCATCAATCGCAGCCCCTGGAAGCAGCTCTTTGGGCGCCTCCCCCGCAAAAAAAGCATGCGTGCCTCGCTCTCTCTCAGCCTCTCCTTGCTCTGCTGATGTAGGCCCAGCTGCTGATGCTGCTCTGACTGCTGTGCTCCGAGGGGCCTCTGGTTTGGAAGACTCTCCTACTGCTGGCCTTGTTCGAAATCCCATCTGCCGATTCTTTGCAGACCACCCGCAGGAGCAGCAGCAGCAGCAGCAGCAGCAGCAGCAGCAGCAGCACCAGAAGCAGTCCCACCACCATCAACAACAACAACAACAACAACACTGTCCCCACCCATCTTTACTCCCCTCCTACCCCTCACCCCCCCCTCTCCAGCCATCCTCCTCTCCCGACCTTTCTTCCAACCCCTCGCGCCGTTCCAAGCACCTACCACCTACCTCCTCCTCCTTAGCACGCACCTCCTCACTCTCAACAAAGAAAGAGCGTCTACACGCATCCACCTCCTCCTTCCCCCCCTCCTTGTCCCGCACGCCGTCCCTCTCCCACAACGACCTCCCAAGCCTCAGAAAGGCGTTTCAGAAGCAAGCAGAGAGGGCCTATGCAGAGGGTGCATGCAGCCCCTCTCTCTCCCTCCACCCTCCCTCCAGCCCGGCACTGTCCCTCGACCCCCCCTCCGGCCCTTTGCTCTGTACCTTTGATCGACTTCCAGAACCTCCTCTGGGCACCCAGTCCCTTCCGTCCTACCCTCCTAGGGTCCCGTCCCTCTCATCGCCCCACGCCCCGTCTCTCTCCCTCACTCCTGCTTCCAGCTCGCACATTTCTAACCCCACTGGCACAGGGTCAGCGGCTTCGAAGCATGCGAGAGCATCGTCAGTTAGCGCGGTGGGGCCACCGCGCCTCTCAGCGCTTGGTGAATGTGCCCCTGGCAGGATGGGATGCAGCCTGCATGGGGCCAGCAACTTTGGATGTGCGGCAAGGGATGGGGTGGTGGTGGAGGGGTGGCAGTCAACTCAGTCAACGCAGTCAATGCGGTCAATACTTTCAATGCAGTCAAGACAGTCAACACGGTCGAGTTTGATGCGCACCGCGTGTGGCAAGGTGGTGAGTGTGAGCATGGAAGGGCCGAGGATCGAGTCAAAAGCGTCGCTGCTGCTGCAGTGCTTGGCTGAGGCTCAGGTGCAGCAACAACAGCAGCAGCAGAGAGGGGAGGAGGAGGAAGAGGAGGAGGGGCCGCAGTAGGGGATGCAGGCAGAGCAGCAAAAGCAGGAGCAGCAGCAAGAAGAGCAGCAGCAGCAACAGCAGAAACACGAGCAGCAAGAGCAGCAGCCGCAGCGTGTGGTGCCGAGGAGTCGGGTGGTGGCGGTGGTGGTGGAGGAGGAGATGATGAACCGCTGTCGCCTGCATGTGGACCAGCTGCTTGGCCCTTGTGTCCCCCCACCTCTCTCCCCTGGAGCAGCAGCAGCAGCAGCAGCAGGTGTCAGAGGAGCAGCATCACGAGCAGTGGCAGCAGAGAAGACAGACGCAGGGAGGCGGGCGTGAGCGACCGGCCCTGGTGCTGCTGCATGGGTGGGTGTCCCTTGCTCCTGACCTGGTTCAACCGTCTGCCGTTCCCGGAACCAATACAAAAGACAACCCTGCTAGCCCTGCCGACAACAGCAACCACAACCACATCCGCAACAACAACCACAGCACTCCTGCTTGCAGTCGAACCGCCAGCAGCAGCAGCGAGACGCAGGTGGTGTCCAGATTCGGTGCACCTGCCACCCCAGCAGCGTCGCCCTCACCGGTTACCACCGTGCCGTACCTCCTCTCTCTTGGGTTCGATGCCGTGGTTCGGAAGCCGCTTCGGAGGAACACCGTTGCTGCTGCCCTGCTGCCCCTCTTCTTGCCGCGCCCTCCCGAGTCTGGACAGTTGCACTCGCCCCATGTGAGCAGCCATGGTTTTGATGCTGACCCGGGTAGAGGTCTCGAGATGGACTCAGCTTACATCAGTGAGCCTCTGAAGCTGCGGGGCTTGCAGATTGACTATGGTGTCTGTGACTACATGGAAGGTGATTGCAGTGAAGGTGGGAGCAGGGAGGATGGCAGCAGAGGGGGAGAGAGAAGGGAGGGAGAGAGCAAGGTTGGGGGAAATAGGGAGGGAGAGGGAAATGAGGGGGAGAGCAGGGAGGGAGCTATCGGTGAGGGAGCGAGCAGGGAGGGAGCTAACGGTGAGGGAGCGAGCAGGGAGGGAGCTAACGGTGAGGGAGAGAGCAGGGAGGGAGCTAACGGTGAGGGAGCGAGCAGGGAGGGAGCTAACGGTGAGGGAGCGAGCAGGGAGGGAGCTAACGGTGAGGGAGCGAGCAGGGAGGGAGCTAACGGTGAGGGAGCGAGCAGGGAGAGATGTGGCAAGGACAGGGGTCTATGGAAGCTACTGTCTCCTCGTAAGAACAACGGAAACTGTGAGCCCAGCAAGTCTTCAAGTCATGCTGCCATACACACTCCAGTTGATGCTGGTTCAAGGCGAGAGCAGAGGAAAGGCAGGGCGTGTGAAATCACTCCAGCATCACCACACCTCACCTCATCTGCTGCTGATTCTGCTGCTAATGCTGCTGCCGATTCTTCTGCTGCCTTTGGATTCCGAAATTCTGATGGTGTCACTGATGTTGCAGTGGTGGCCGCACAACCACCACCAACACCAACAGCAGCACCAGCAGCAGCGGTAGCAGCGGCACGAGAGCAGGCAGCAGTGGGGGAGGGACTGGGGGTGCTTGAGCCGACTCAAGAGCCAGCGACTGTTGGGGAGAGGCTGAGTGTGCTGTTGGGTCAGCGGGTGATGGTGGTGGATGACAACCTCATCAACCGCAAGGTGGCCAGCAAGCTGCTGGAGAGGCACGGCGCGCGAGTCACCGCCGTGGATGGCGGCGCCAAGGCGCTCGTTGCCCTTGAGCCACCGCACCACTACGACCTCGTCTTCATGGACCTCCAGGTGAGTTGAGGAGGCAAGGGAGAGATGTGTGGGAGGTGGGGAGATGTGGGAGGTGGTGAGATGTAGGTGGTGGAGAGATGCGTGGGAGGTGGGGAGATACGTGGGAGGTGGGGATGGGCAAGCACAGAAGTTCAGAGGGATGGGCACACACCCCTTCCACCTCGTCCTCTTGGGCCTCCACGTGAGTTGAAAGGGTTGGAGTTCAGAGGGATGGGCAACACCTCTTCCACTCCACCCCTTCCACTCCAGGTGACATGCATGGCTCACCTCGGTCTGCCATGGATCATGCTGTCATCTTCATCTCTCCATACCTCTTTCCACACCTCGTTGTGCACATGACCGGCATGGGTGACTCAACTCTTTCTAACACTCACATCTGTCTCTTATCCACCGCTCCCTCCCACCCTCCCAGATGCCGGGCATGGATGGGCTGGAGGCGACTCGCAGGATCCGAGCGCGGGAGAGGGCTCAGGGCGGGGGGCATGTGGCCATCATTGCGCTCACAGCGGATGTGATTGCCGGCACGCGCCACCACTGCTTTGCCGTCGGCATGGATGACTACCTCTCCAAACCCCTCCACGACGCCCCCCTCTCCCATGCAGTCTGGCGCTGCCTCGCCAACAGATGATCACTTGTACAGTATAAATATAAATGCACTATGCGTGCCTGGGATCAGGGAAAGCGAAGGCTGCATGTTGGTATTTCATGCGGTACTAGCCCATGAATCTTCATGAAGGCGTCTTCATTGTTTTGGAGGTGTTGTTGAAGCTAGGGCTAAATGGAGTTCAATGGTTTTGGGTAGCACTGAAATCCTACATCTAGGTGTACAAAGTTTGCTAATGACCTACAGTACATTCCGTTCAAAGGCAGTTGTGGCAAGGTGTAAAGAAAATTCCTTTTCCTTACTTCGCGTCCCCGTTCAGCGCGTACACCACTGTAGCACCACAGTCAGCGCCGTTACCACTCGCAACCCTCGCATCGACAATCCTCCTGCCACCTTCGCACGTCGCACCCCGACCTCACGGCTCGGCGGGTAACCCGCGCTCCGGGCCTCCGCTTCGACATTTCCCCCAAACCTCAGTCCTAAGCCCGCCGCGCAACAACCACAGTCCATTACCGTTACCACTGTAGTTTCGCTATATATTCTTTGCTCATGCCTTCGCTCATTGTACTCTTGCTTCAATAGTGCAATTCTCGCTCGCTCACTCAATTGCACTCGTAACACTTGGTATTCAGAGCCTACGATCTCTTCTCGGACCGCACCCACACCTTCGCTTCCTCACTATCTCAATTTTTGGGGGGGGGTAGACGTCTCTCAGCGACACAGCACCGCCGCTCGTAATGCTCTCTCGTAAGCACGCACGGCCACGACAGAGGCTCTCGCTGAGCTTGCCCGACACCCCCGCCATGGCCGAATTCACGCTCGCGACGTTGACGCAGGAGCAACTTGACCGTCTGGTGCGCCAAGTTGAAGAATCAGCGCTCGAAATTGCGACGCTCACGGCGGAACGTGTCTCCGCGCGTCAGCAATCCACGATGAATACTCCAGCGCCACCACACGCACCGACAAATGCATCTGCACAATCGGACGAGCCGATCGTCATTTCGTCCGGCACACCAACACAACACGACAGCATGGGACAGCGCTCAGGTGCAGCCAGTGATGGCGCCGCCCAACCGATGCCTGGCATGGGGGGAAACAGGGTCGCACCAAGCCCGCGGGAGCCTCATGAAGCCCGTCGGCACGTGGAGTTCGCGGCGACAAGTGGCGAACAGGCCATCATGGCACCAATGCCACTCAAGCCGCAACGCCCGCCCTGCTTCGACCCGAGCCAGCGTGGAGGTCCGACGGTTCAATCGTGGGTCTTCACGATGAACGTCTTCTTCGATGCGAATTACGTCGAGTCGGACGCAGCGAAGATCCGATATGCCGTCTCGCTGCTGAGGGGCCCCGCCATGGTGGCGAGTCATCGTGACGTTGACACGCGCCTACGAGCCACCGTCGCAAGAGGAAGGGCCCACGGGTCCAGCTGTCACCTGGAGTTCATTCTGCGAAACCGCCCAGTACAGCACGTGGGATGCGTGGTGCGCAGGGCTTCGGGCGCGCTTCGAGCCGATCGCGGCTTCTATTTCGGTGCGTCAGAAACTGCGTACTTGGCGGCAGCTCGGGTCGGTTCAAGACTACATGAGTGGTTTTCTCGCATTATGCGAGCAAGTCGGCTACATGCACGAAGCGGAGCGGGTGGACCGTTACGTCGGAGGGCTGAAGCCGGACATCTCGCACGAGATCATGCTACGCGGGCTCTCGAACTTCAACAATATTCTCGCGCTCGCCGAGAAAATCGACATTTTGCGCCGTCCGAGACCGGGGTCCTACTACGGACATCGTCCTCGGGGACCGATCGAGCACGCCACCGTACATGCCGTTGCGACGAATGCAGCTGCCGCGCCGTTTAAGGGGCGCTGCTTTGCTTGCAATAGGCCGGGCCATCGCAAGAGTGAATGCCCAGAGGAGCTGAGGCGCCGCGGAGCAGAGCTGGGGAGGGAGTCTCCAAGGCAGGGAAATGCCAGCAATCAGTAGGAATCGGGCCAACTACTGACGAGACTGCCTGCTCGCCCAACCCCACCGACCCTCACCGAGTCACAGTACCGATTCATGCTATCGATCGGGCTCGGACGAATAAGGAGGGTACAGCGACGGATTGCCCAGTACTGATCCACGGGAAAATACAGGGAGCAGCAGTGAAGATTTTTATCGACGGAGGAGCAAGTCACAGTTTAGTTAATACCGCAACCGCACGCAGACTGCAACTGACACTTAGCCGTTGTTTACCTGAGATAGATGCACGCTTAGTTGATGGCACGCCACTGGCCATACGGGAAAAGGTGGAGAGAGTCAAAGTCCGCTGCGGGGGAAATTTCGGATTTGCACAGTAAATGCTCGCGACGACAATCGATGGGCACGACATTTTACTGGGACGTGATTGGCTGCGACGGTATAACCCGCGAATTGACTGGACGACGGGTAGCTGCACTGTGCGAAGTAGCGGTAACTGGGTTGAGCTACCTCGTTGGCATTCGCCCGGGTCTTCAACGGTACACGTCAACGCCGTCACCATGAAACGAGCTGTCGCTGCTGGAGCTGACGTGTACGCAGTAGACATTTCAGTGGTAGAGGGAGCAGAGCAGCCGAGTGATTTCAAGAAACTGCTGGCAGCAGTACCGCCCGAACTACAGGAACTGTTGAAACGATACACCGGGATTTTTCCCGACGACTTACCGGAAGGACTGCCACCTCAGCGAGCACATGACCACCGAATAGAATTAAAACCGGGGGCACAGCCAACTGTACAGCGACAGTTCAGACTGACACAACCCGAGCTCGACGAACCGAGGAAGCAGTTAGATTACTTATTAGCGAAGCAGTTCATCCGACCGAGCTCGTCACCGTTCGCCGCACAGATCCTGTTCACACCAAAAAAAGACGGAGGGTTTCGTATGTGCATCAATTACCGAGCGCTCAACAGGGTAACAGTCAAGTCACGGTACCCCATTTCCCGCGCCGACGAACTGATCGGCCAACTACGAACAGCACGGGTTTTTTCGAAAATAGATTTACGGGGAGGTTACCATCAGATTAGGGTCGAACCATCGGACTGCGCCAAAACAGCATTCCGGACTATGTACGGGTCATTCGAGTACACCGTGATGCCTTTCGGGCTGACCAACGCACCAGCGACATTTCAGATGACCATGAACGAGGCGTTTAGGCCACTTTTAGATAAATGCGTGATAGTTTACCTCGACGACATCCTCGTCTACAGTCGCGACAAGCAGCAGCACTTAGCAGATCTGGAAGCAGTGTTTAAGATTTTTTACGAGCATCGGCTCCTGACAAAGGGTTCCAAGTGCGAATTTTTTCAGGACCGGCTAGAGTTTTTGGGGCACGTCATTTCGGAGGCTGGGGTCGAAATTGACCCAAAGAAGTTAGACACGGTGAAAGCCTGGCACCCCCCGACGAATATCACGGAACTACAGAGCTTTTTGGGGTTCGTCAATTACGTGCGTCGGTTCGTCCCCGACATGGCACGGTTAACAGCACCGCTGACGGACTTGTTACGGAAGGGGGTCGCTTTTACGTGGGGGGAGAAAGAGCATGCTGCCTTCTCTGCCCTGAAAAATGTTCACTGTTCACCACCCGTCCTGCGCATTGCTGACCCACACCGCCCATTCGAAGTAGTTACCGACGCAAGCGACATCGCCATCGGAGCCGTACTGCTACAGGACTTCGGCAACGGCCTACAACCCATCGCATACGAGTCACGAAAACTGCATCCGCCCGAGAAAAAATACCCGATACACGACCGCGGAATGCTTGCGATCGTACACGCGTTCAAAGTGTGGCGCTGTTACTTGACCGGCGCACACGTGACAGTACGGACAGACCATAAATCACTACAGTACCTCCGCGCACAGCCACACCTCAACCCACGACAGATTCGCTGGCTCGATTTTCTCGAGTCCAATTTTCACTACACGGTCACCTACAAAAAAGGAGCCTCGAACATCGCCGACGCACTGACCCGCCCCACTGCCCAGATCCATGCAAAACTACTCGCCCAGACCAGCCCCCTACTGACAGGCCTATTTACCCACAGGTACCAAACGGATCCATTCTTCACAGGAGGAAATTCGCAGCAGTTCGCAGCAGCAAGAGGAGTCTATTATGTAAAAACCGGGACCGACCGCATCTGGGTGCCCGGGTATACACTGCTACGGGAATTACTATTACAGGAGGCACACGACGGAGTTACCTCAGGGCATTTCGGGGTAGAGAAAACACGGCAGCAACTGCAGCGATATTATTACTGGCCCGAAATGTTGACCGACGTACAACGACACGTGGCATCGTGTCCCACTTGCCAGCTCATGAAATCATCACGGCAGCGGCCGGCAGGACAGTTGCAGCCGATACCACCCCCAGAGCGTGCTTGGCAGCAGGTGACGATGGACTTCGTCACGGGGTTACCGGCCGGGGCGAGTCGGAACGACGCGATCCTGGTCGTCGTCGATCGACTGACGAAAATGTCACACTTCGCAGCCTGCAAAAAATCAATCACAGCCGAAGAAACAGCACGCCTCTTCATCTCCACCGTCGTTCGACTGCACGGGATACCAGCAGCGATAATCAGCGACCGCGACACGAAATTCACCAGCAACTTCTGGCGGAACCTGTGGCAGCAGTTCGGCACGCGACTACAGTTCAGTTCTTCGTACCACCCCGAAACCGACGGACAGACAGAACGGACAAACCAGACTATGGAGCAACTCATCCGAGCCACGTGCGACGACCCAACCACCTGGGAACAACAGCTGCCACTCATTGAGTTCGCATACAACAACTCACCATTCGCCACGACCCAGCAGTCACCGTTTTACCTGAACTACGGACAAGACCCGACAGTACCCATGACCCCGAATCCCGACAACCCGGTACCACGAGCGCAACAGTTCGCCGAAATTTTACAAGCAGCACGAACCCGGGCAGCAGACGCAATAAAAAATCGAACATCATCGCTAAACGTAACGCCGAAAGCCACCGCCGACCTGTCACTTACCAACATGACGACTTAGTTTTACTCGACACTCAGAACCTCCGACTGCCCATCACCCCAAAACTCCGCCCCCGATATTGCGGGCCATTTCACATAAGCCACATGATTACGCCCGTCACCGCCCACCTCCTCCTCCCCGCTGACTAGTACGTCAGCCCCTCATTCCACGTCAGTCTGCTTCGCCCATACGTCCCGTCCACAAGCCAACTGCCACGTAATCGCCCAGCCAACATGACACGACCACCGACTGAACCAATCATCACACCCGAGAAAATTCTGAGCCACAGAGTTCGTGACCCTCGAGGAGCCCGAAGGATCGAGTTCCTGATCCGCTGGAAAGATCGTACACCCACCGAAGACAACTGGGTTCCCCTGGACAGAATCGAAAACCACTCTGTCCTCACCGAGTATCTGTGCAGCCGAAACTTCAGGGATGTACACGCGCTTTCGTAAGGAGGACCTCCTTAAGGGGGGGGGGGGGGGGGTAGTGTAAGGAAAATTCCTTTTCCTTACTTCGCGTCCCCGTTCAGCGCGTACACCACTGTAGCACCACAGTCAGCACCGTTACCACTCGCAACCCTCGCATCGACAATCCTCCCGCCACCTTCGCACGTCGCACCCCGACCTCACGGCTCGGCGGGTAACCCGCGCTCCGGGCCTCCGCTTCGACATTTCCCCCAAACCTCAGTCCCAGGCCCGTCGCGCAACAACCACAGTCCATTACCGTTACCACTGTAGTTTCGCTATACACCCTCATTCTCGATAGACTGGCATATGTTATACTGACCGGGACGCTTAGTGTGACCGCACCGGACCCAAGAAGGTCCTATCACATGCGTTATAGTGACAATTTGACCCAGGGCGTTTAGTCAAGGTTTTTTAAGTTCTGGAACGGTACTGTTGTTTTCAAAGCGGTTGGGATGGTTATTCAACGTTAATGGTTTTTTACGGCCCAAGGCGTGTTTCAAACCCTCGTGCGACTTTGCCCGCAACCGAAAGCCTCATCGGAATTCGGCCGTCGGAGCCGAGTTGCCTGTGTCGTCGAGGGGGGTCGTCGTAGCGAGGGCTGACGAGGCGGGGGACTGACGCGCGTGCGGGCCCGCCAGCCTGGCCCAGGGCTGGGCCGAGCGCACGACCGCCGCCCCGCAGCCCCGCTCCGAAAGTGAACAGCGGCCCACGTTACCGGGTGGGGTCGGCGAACTGGCGACAGGTCGCGCGTGGGAAAATTACCCTCGCGCGAAGGCAGCCCACACGTGCCACCTGCCCGCGAGGTCCTAGTAACCCATCGCGGCCTGACCGGACGGGCAGGCGAGGGCCAGGCGAAAAATCGGGGCCCCCTCGGGACACTCGACAATTTCGCGACCCGTTGCGGTCGCGCCACGTGTTCGCCCGTGGCTTCGCAGCGCGCGCATGCGAAATTTCGGACGATGCGAAATTAAAACATCTCGCATCTACCACCGCGATCCGCTACGAAAATCGACACGTGTCGGCCCTAGCGACGCTCCGCGCGCATGCAAGTTGTGCGCCCCCTCGCCGACCTGGGCCAATGGACGCGAGGTCGTCGCTCTGCCAGGGCGGAGACGGACCACCTGTGCCACTAGCGCATGCGCCCTCCGAGCCCTGCCGAGCCAGGCCCCACACCCTTGGGCGATGCTGAACGGCCCCACCCCCTTTTCATTGTGGAAGGTGGCTTCGCTCCTCATTTTCTCCTTTTCTCATTTTCCCAGACAGCTCTGCACCTCCCCCTAGATCCGTGCTATCGTACCTTAGCCGTCCTAGTATTCCCTTAGTCGATATGGAGCCGATCCCCGACGCCGAGAAGTCGGCGCCGACTTGGGCTGACTTTCCCCTTAGACACCGAATGGGTCGCGGTCTCAGCTTCACCTTCGAGTGGGACGACTTCGGCGCCCTTCGCGACCAGAAGAGAGAGTTCACCGACAGATGCTTGGGATTCGCCATCAGGTGGGACTCGAGTAGTCACGGTAGGAGAATAGGGCGGATATCGGCGCCGACTTCCTCTAGATGGGCGCATAAAGTATATGTCAGCGCCGCCGGGGGCGGTGTGTCGCAGATTGTCGCGACCCCATCCATGGACGTCGGTCGGCATAGCAAGCGTCGATCTGGTAGCGTTAGCGTTTGCTTACCCGCCATGTGATCATCCCTCATGCCCACTCGTGCGCCCAGGTACGCTTGGTTTCGCAATGAACTGAACGACCAGAAGTTGTGGGTAATCGGAGTCGGCCCGCTTCGATCGGCCTTGAAGGCCGCAGACCATTCTTGCTTTGCTACGGTTTTCGACGCCGACATCGCCGCCATCCCGTTACGCACGACGTGAGCTGTTTCCCCGTTGTCCAGTTATCGTTTTGTTTAGTCGGTCGCCTCATCGCCTAATGTTGTGGTCGACGCCGTCGTGAATTGCATGTGCAGTGGCGGTCCGCTTCCAGGGTCACACTGCAGCGTCATAGCCATCCTCTACCCAGGAGATCTGCTGAAGGCCGAGGGACAGGTCTGCAGGACCTCGATCCGGCACATCGACCCGCATACCGGGAAACTGAAGCACCGCGACGACGCCGTCCGCGTGCTGAAGTAAGTTGTGAATAGTCGTCGATTTCCCGCTTGTTAGTCGCCGACCCAGGGTATCACATGCTGACCGCCTCCCTTTACCACGATGCTCCAGGCTATTCCGCACGGCAGTCCTGGCCGAGCTGGGGCGTCCCGGTAGGCAGTGGGACGGGGCACCGCCATCACAAGCAGTGGTGGAGGACAGGCTTGCCGACTGCGACCACCCTATCCGCGACGTGAGTTGCACGTTGCACGTTTATCCATTAAGGAGGGTGCACGTTTCTGTATGCTCCGCTCACAATGTTCCGCGCTTGCCGGTGTTGTATGCAGAAAGTGCCAGACACAGTGTCGGACGAGAAGGTCGGCACCGGCATGCTTGCCGCGACGTCGTTCGGGTGGGTGGCCAAGCAGGTTGACCTGCTGACGGGCGAGAAGGGTCGTGGTGCGGTGAGCATCGAGAACATCAAGACAAAGGGGCTAAAGTCGTTGCGAGACAGCATGGTGGAGTACATCTGCAAACGCATCGACGAAAAGCGCTCTGCGGCGCCGACATCACAAACCGCCGATAGTGTGATTGATGACGACGGCGCGGAAAGACAGACGGCGCCCCAAGCAGTAGTTGCCGCCCAGCATCAGGGGAACTCGAGGGTGTCCGCGGAAGGAGGAAACGGTGGTGGAGGAGGCAACGCTGCGACAGGTGGAGGAAAGAAGGAAGAGGAGGAGTCGGAGGAGGATTCGGAGTCGGAGTCGGAGTCGGAGTCTGAGGAGGAGGCGGAGGAGGAGGACGAGGCGGTGAAGCGGAAGGACGAGGAGGAGGAGGAGAAGGACGAGAAGGATGACGGCGATGAGGAGGAGGAAGGGAAGGATGAGGAGGGGGGAGGGAAGGATGGGGAGGGGGACGGGAAGGATGAGGAGGGGTTGGAGGAAGTGGTGGAGTTTGAGGTGGAGTTCGAAGAGGAGGAAGCTGTGGTAGAGGCGGTGGGGTCGGTGGATGAAAAGAACGAGGAAGCGGAGGATGGCGATGCGGGTAATGATACAAGGTCGGCAGATGGGGGGAAGGAGAAGGATGAGGTCGGCGTGGAGGCAATGACGGAAAAGGGCCAGGAGGAGGCGGCATGCGAAGGTGGGAAGGTGTCGGTCGACGCCGGCGAAGCGGCGAACACCACGCGCGTGCAGGAGACGGGGGACGATTCTGGTAGGCAGGGTAATGAGCTGGACGACGTCGAGCAGGTGCGACGGGAGAACTGGCTGTTGAGGGCGGAGAACGCTCGGCTAGCGACGTTGCTCGATGCGGAGCAGGCTCGGCTGGACAGGTTTTTTGTTGGGATGCGTGGACTCGTCGACCACGTGAAGGAGTTGGCCGAGCAGGTCGACGACACCGAGAAGTATGCGGCGGAACAGCTGCGAAACGCGACGGCGGCCATGTCGAAGACAATCACGGGCAACATCACCGGCAGCTTCGACGAAGCGTGGAAGACGATGAAGACCTTAGCAGAACAGGCGACGGCGTGGTTGGAGGACTTCGACAACCCGCAGGGTCGTGTGGCAGTTGCACGCGCGGTAGCGGTCGACGCGTTGGCCGAGCATGTGACTGGGGTGATGGGCGAAGCGCAGCGGGGTTTGGAGCTGTACATCACGACGCAACTATCCGCCGTGCAGGTCAACATCGCCACCGCTGTGACCACCAGGCTCCCCGTGCAGCCGCCGCCACCGCCTCCGCCCACGCCGCCCGCCCTCCCGGAAGAGCTCTTGAAGTCGTTCAAGGCCGACATTATGAAGGCGGTGACGGAGGCCACCCAGCAGTCTTTCGTCGCTTCCGGGATGAAGATGATGGCCGAGATGGTCGGCACTGTGGCGCCTGGTCGACGTGGGTCGTCGCCGTCGGCCAATGACGCCGATCACGCGCAACGGAAGACGGCCGACAAGCAGGGCCTGAAGAGGACGGGCGACGGAGACGACAAGGAGAGCGCGAAGGGCGACGCGAAGCGGAGCAAGGGATCGGACGGGAGCCGCGGCTCGAAGCCTGCGCCACAGAGCGTGGTCGACCAGCTGAAGACGAAGGCGGGGTGGAGGGTGATAAGGACGTCGAACACCAAGGGTGGCGGAAGCGGGACGGCAGAGGGTGGCCCTGCCGACGGGGTTGCAGCTAACGTCACCGCTCAGCCAGGCCCGCCTTTGGTCGCCGAGCAGACCCATCCTCAGGCGAGCGGTGGGAAAGTCGTGACCGACAAGGAGGTCCCAACTTCTCAGGCGGCGGAAGATGGCGGCGCCGGAACCACCAAGGGACCGTCCGTCGCTGTGGCGGCCAAGGGCAACGCGAAGGCTGCTTCTGCCACGGTCGCCGGCACCACCAAGTGCCCTCCCCGTAACCCCCCTGCGGCTACCAGCGCGCCTGCCGGCCAGTCAGGTGCGACCAAAGATGGGGAGGCCCGTGCGGCCCCTCCAGCTCCAGGAGCCCCGGCTGCCGGCAAGGGCGGCGCGAAGGCTGCTTCGGCTAAGGGCGCTGCTCCGGCATCAGCTAAGGGGCCCCCCGGTGCTGACGCGCTCTCCGCCGCATGGAGGCACATAGCAGGGACGTGCAGCAGCATCCCGTGGTCGAAGCCGGCCTTGCCGGAACAGCACGTCGCTCCGTCACTCCGCAGGTTGCCGGCACATCGTCCGGGGCCCCACCTGCAGCGCATCCGGTCGCCGCCCCACCGCCTGCGGACTCCAAGTCAGCGTTTATGCGCGCCCATTTAGTCGGACGCAAAGCGGCTGCTCCACTGGTGACTCAGCAGGAACACGGCAAAAGCGCGACGACGACGTCGGTAAACGCGACCGCACCCTCACCAGGTGCAGCTGTGGTCGATGCGGCGGCGGAGAGGGGAGTGAGTGCAGCGCTAGCCACCGGCGGCCGCGCCGACAAGCATGCCGCACTCGCTGCCGTCCTGGCCCATTTTGATGCAGCAAAACGCCCTGAGCACGCCCCTGCTCTGGCCATCATGGACACGGCGCATGTGGGGCCGTCGGTGACCCACGGTGGGGGATCGGCGGAGCCGACGGCTGCAACGGGTGCTGTCGCCGAGAGAAATGCGGGAGGGAAGGGGAAGGTCGACACCGGGAAAGGGAGAGCGGTCTCTCAGAGGAGCACGCGAGCGATGTCGGCGGGGAAGGAGATGTCGGAAGAGAAAGGGAAGAAGGCGGAAGGGAGTCAGGACAAGAAGGGCGGCAAGGGTAAGCCGGCGAAGAAGAAGGAGAAGGCGGAGGAGGATGACGAGGAGGGCGGCGAGGGAGATAAAGAACGCAGGGGTCATGGCATCCGCCAAGACAGGTCCGGCGACGGGCATGGGTGGGTGGGCGAGATTAAGGTAAACGGACGGAATCGATACATCGGCAAGTCGAGGGAGAAGATGGAGCTGGCCTACGAGCACGCGATTGCGTACGTCGTCTACGACGGCTACGTGAGCAAGGTGCTCATGAAGGAGCTCACCGTCTTGAAGCCGGGGGAGTTGGAGAAATGGAAGGAGGTGTGGGAGGAGGTCAAGTTCTTACCGACTGGGTTGTGGACGGTGATGTGGGCCAGAGGCTTGTGCCATCCGAGAGCAAGGTAAGACGGCTACCAACGCGCCGAGTTCTGTCGACCATGTCGGTGTCATTACGCTGAAGTCGGTGTCGTTTTAATGTGTTTGCGCGGTAGGATCGACGACATACTCGGCAGGTACCGTGGGTACGCGAGTTCGGGTGATGCGCTTCATGGGGTGCTCTGGCCGGCGATCTGGTTCCCCATCATCGAAAACACGGAGGAAGGCAAGGAGGAGACGGAGGCTCTCATGTCGGCGATGGTAAATCGCGTGTCGATGTGCGCGGCGTATGGGAAAGTCGCGGCGAGCGCGGCGTTTGGGAAGGTCGACGCGAGCGTAGAAGGGAATGCGGGAGAGAAGACGGAGATGGAAGGCGCGGAGGGGAAGGCGGACGAGAAGACGGAGATGGCGGCCCAGGCGTTAGCGGCATCTGCATGCGCCCTCTGGTGCTTCGTGGAGACGGGAGCGTCGTTGTTCGGTGCTGTGGGCGAAGGGAAGGCGGCGGCGATGGTGGCAGGTGCGGAGGAGGAGAGGGCCGAGGCATTCAAGAAGGTGATGCACGCGGTGATCGACTTAGCACGCAATCGGCAGGCTCCCGCGGGGGAGGTTGCCCATAACGTCGCGCCATCGCTGCAGCGCCACGCAGTGGTCAGGGCCTTCGAGGAGGGAGTTGAGGAAGTCGAGGCCGACATGATCGCCAGAGCGACGGTCGAGACCTTGGCGTTCTGGGGAATGTGCCCCGTCGCCGGGCCCAAGCTAAAAGAGCAGGGCATCGATGTGCCGTGTGACGCGAAGATGGAGTACGATATGGATCACAGGGGGAGGAAGGGGGAGAAGGTCAAGCAGGGCAAGGGCAGCAAGAGGAAGAAGGGCAAGGAGGGCAAGGGCAGTACGGATGCGTAGTTGGCGGGCTGTGGTGTGCGGGATGCTATGGTATGGTCGGCGCCGATGTCGTAGTAAATCTAATGACTTTTTGATCGTAGGGCACGAATCTTCTTCGTTTCTGTTTGCTTCACTTTGTGATGACCCTAAACCATACTGTTCACATTGAAACTTGCTAGCCGTCTTTGAACGATGAGCCTTGTCGCCGCATCTGTCGACATAAAAAAGAACATGCTACTCGGCGACGAGCTCTGACTAGGTACATGTCGACAGCCTAGCAACATGCAAACCTGCGAGACGTCGACATCGATCTGTGTTTTGATTAGTAATGAGCGACCGACTACATTTAACACGGCGGGATCAAGTAGGTTCGCAAGGGCCTTGCAGTGGGTTGTTACAAACTACCAGAACAGCATTTGAAAAACGAGGGGGGGGGGGGGGGGGGGGGGTTTAAAGTCTGCCACAGTTAACAGCATCGAACTACGCACACGCATATCCTACAAGCGCGCTCATGCCGACTTCTTCCGCTTGGTCGGAGGACGGTGCACCGGAGCGGTCGGTTTGGCCGGTGCTGTCGACTTGGCCGGTGCCGTCGGCTTCGCCAGGTCGGCCTTGGTCTTCGGCATCTGCTCCTCCCACGTGTCTGGAAACAGGGTTTCGACCCAATCAATCTGCTTCAGGTTGAGCGCCACAAGCGCACAGGCGATGCGTAGCTTCGAGACCACCTTGGGGCCCAGCCCCTTGACTCCCATGCCAGGCTCTTTGGACAACATCGGTGCCGTTCCCGGGTTGAGCACCGTGAGGGCATCGGCGAAGGTCCCGATGCCCGATGCCGCGATCCTGTGCAGTTTGTCGACCACGGCCTCGGTGTCGGCGTCGCCGTCGCTCGCGCGTAGTTGGCGCACCGCATCCATGACCTTCAGCATGCGGCGCACCCTCTTGTTGAGTGCACCCTGCGTCGCGCCTGCGAGGAGGGTGTGGCAGTCGATGAACCCCGGCTCGGCGATCCTGTCGCAAAGCCGACGGGTGTCATGAGCGGTGGCGGAGTTCCAGAGGCGCCAGGCGTCCCTCACGGTCTTGGCCTCCCGCCACGGTTGTACCACGTTGAGCTCGTAACTAGCCTCCTCGTCCGTCTGTGGGGGTGGCGGGGGTTTGTCGTCCCCTCCGTCGGCGCCGGCTCCCATGTTGGCCGAATCCGCCGAGCCACCCTCGCTGGGAGCTTGCGCGGTAGCACACGGCGGGGCCTCCGGCACTCTCCGTGCTTCTGACACACGGAGTGCCTCGGTGAGTCGGGTTATCTCGGCGGTGAGAGACGCGATGGTGTCGTCGCGCTTCTCGAGCTCCTCCAGGAAGTCGATCTTCTCGTTCGCGGCGCGTTCCATCTCCTTAGTCAGCTTCGCCTTGAGGGATATGTTGTAGTACTCGGTGTCCATGCGGACAGAGATTTCCTGCAGCGATAGGACAAGGACGTTAGCAGCGAGGTGGTTTGGAATGCCCTACATCCAGCTCGACGTCGACTTACCTCTGCCTGAATTTGGGTCGGGTCCCGACGCTTGTTGATCGTCTCGGTGTCGAGCGCCTCGACCCGTTTCGCCCAGTGCTGGAAGAGGGGGATCCGGCAGAGCAGGGAGCCTTGGACGTACGGGTGCCATGGTGTGCGGACCAGCTTCACCGCTAGGTCCTCGGCGACGATGCGGCGCAGCATCTGGAGTGTGCGCCAGAAGTGCACTGCGGCTTTGTCGGCGTCGGACCCCTCGGCAGCCTTCCCTTCCGCCTGCAATTCGTCACGTGTATTAGGGGTTCAGACACTGGAGGCAACACGACTCGGAAACAAGGATAGCGTCGACTAACATACCGTCTTCAGCATGTCGTCGACGCCGGGGAAGATGTGCTCGGCGAGGAGCTTCAAGAGCTTGTCGGAGGGCTCGTGCCTGCTCCGGCCCAAGAAGTAGTCCTGCTTGTAACCAGAGTAACCGGCCTTCTTCATCACCACCCCCACCGGAATGGCGGTGATGTACGCTCGCGTCATCTTGTCGAGCGCCCAGTGACCCAGCTCCGCGATCTCGGCGCGCGGCGTGCCGTCGATGGCCAGCTCCTGGGCCCCTCCGACTCGAGCGGCGTGCACGTTCCTCTTGCAGAACACCCCGTTTTTGTCCCACAACTGCCGCGTCCAGCGTTGGTGGCTTGCCGCAGAGAGCTCCCCTTGGTCGGTGTCGTTTTTGGCGAAGAAGAGGTGCTTCTTGTACCAGCTCGCGCGTGTGCTGGTGTCCACAGGCGGAATGAGGCGGACGCCGTGAAACTGGCCGATCTGGTCGAGGATGAAGTGCAACCACAGGCCCGTCTCGCCGACGGCGCACAACTCCGCTTCGAGGTGCCGCGCAGCGTAGCTCTGATGCAGACGCGCATCCTTGGACGTCTTCGAGTTCCGCGCAGCGATGACCATGACGACCGGCTGGTTCTCCGGGTTCACCGACGAGGTGCTCGCCAGTCGGTACAAGAATATGTCGGGGAGCGTGATCTCGCGGATGCTTGCACCGCGCAGAAGAGAGTGGTGGGAGAGTAGCGTGAGCACCTTTAACAGCAGAAACCGCCATAGCGTCTGCGACGGGCCCGTACCCCGCGGGTTCCACGCCTTGGCCGCCCACGTCGGCAGCACCCTGAACATGATCTGGCGGAACTGCTCGGCGGTGTAGGTATCGCCGATGGTTCCGCGACGCCGATCGGTGCAGTTCCTGCCGACATTGCCAAGGGTGGGGGGCAATTAGGGTGGCGTCGACTCAGTACATGCCAACAAGAGGTTAAACAAAAACTCACTTGAGGTCCCGCTCGTTCTTGGTGCGGATCATGAACCGCACCTCCGACCTGACCACCGATATCTCACGCATGATGCTCAGCTCCGTCTCCCGGTATATCGTCGCCTCCACTCTCGCCGCCATCTGGCATGCCTTTATGCGCCCGAGGAGCGTGTGCACCGTTGTAGATTGCACAGGCTGTGTTCCTGTGGCGTTGTCGCCCTCCTTGCTGGACTTGGCATCGAGCTTCAACTCCCGAACCATGTACTTCACGTATGCGCGAAGCCGGGACGTGGTGACCCTAGGGCCGTGCAGCCACACGTACGCCCGGGGGACATCGGCCTCTTGGTCCCAGCTTTTCTTCTTGTTGTCCCGGATGTAGTGCCCTATCTCGTCGACGTGCTTAAGCCTGTACTCCTGCGGAAGCTTGTTGCGAATTTGCCTCAACATCTTTGCCGCCCACCTCTTGTAGTGATAGATCCACGAGGTGTACTGCCTCAGCGTGCTGTTCCTCTCCACGGTTTGCAGGTGGCGTAGGGCGTCCAAGACGAGCACGTCGATGGTCGCGTACACCATGTCGTCCTCGACGAAGTCTGCCGCCCTCCACTGTTCGCGCGGCACCGACAAGTTCTCCTGGTCGGCATCCTCGTCCTGTTCGAGCAGATCATCTATGTATTCAAGCTCCCGCCTGAGTCGTTCTTCCAGGGTGCGCTGATTAGTGCTACGCGGCGGACGCTCGTCGTTTTCGTCATCGCTTTCCTCCTCCTCCTCCTCCCCCCCATCCTCATCCTCATCGTCCTCTACCTGGTTTCCAGAGCCGGTCGGTGCCGACGAAGTTCCCGGCCGACCATTTCGCGTCGGATTCTGTTTTTTTTTCTTGTTAAACTCCCCAATCGGCGGTGGGGGAATGTCCTTGGTGAACTCCCCTTCTGGAATCTGCGTGAGCTTGTCAAGATCGTAGAGTAACGGGAGCGTCTCTTCCTCGGTAGATGTCGGACTGTAGTCGGTGGATGGTCTAGAGTCGGTCATGTCGACGTCGGCCATGTGGCAGCACGTATGTTGCTCTACCGTCGTCCGTGTGCGATGCGGAGGTCGGTAAACCAGAGACGGTACTGATTCACGGGTGCGGTGTACGACCGAAGAGTAGCGCGGCGGTCTTCCTCTAGATAACGTTCAGTAACGTCTAACCCGTGTTCGACCTCGAGATTGCAGGGGTTGGTAAACCAAAGACGGTACTGAGTCACGGGTGTGGTGAACGCCCGAAGAGTTGCGCGGCGGTCTTCTTCGAATTCTCGGTCGAGTGAGTCTAACTCGGCTTCGACCTCGAGCCGTTCCAGCTCCGCTTTGATGTCGGCGTCTACAGAGTCGGCGGGGGGTGGAATGGGTTGAGGCTGTTGGGCTCTAGGGCGACCTCTGGCCATGCGTCGCCGACTTGCACCGATCTCTCGCTAAAAACAGCAGACGTCGACGTCGACGACTACTGACCAAGTCGGCAACCGAGTAACCTACAGGCGCGATGACAGACTGGCAGCTGAAAATTCTGTGTGCACGAGAGAGCAGGAAGAAACGCATGAACGGACATGGGAATGAGCAGGCCCGCACGGTCACGGACGGGTATGGTCCTGAGCGACTCCGATGCTGCCGCGCTTCACGCACACCCCTATGCTACTGCCGCCGTGCATGTGTTCTCGCATAGGCGGCGCACTGCCCGAAGTGCCACGTGCCAAGCATGGCTAATGTTACTTCGCGCTGCACCGAAGGGGCGTAAGCCATGCCCTTTCCACGGTGGAATGGGCGTGTGTTACGTGGCTTGGGGCCGACATTGGCCTCTCAGTACCGAAATTACAACATGCCGACTCGAATCTCCCAGGGTCCCGGATTTATTGAAGCCCACCGTGGCAGTCCTAGCGTGGGCGCCCTAAGATCGGCGCCGACTTACAATCGGCGCGCTTGATTGTTTCTTTAGGTTCATTGAACCTAGACAGTGTTGAGATTGTGCCGCGTGGCTTGGTTGTGGGCCTTTGGATGAATTGGTCGACACCGACATCGCGTGCAACTCGCGATCCCACAGAACAGTTACACCCTGGACGGTCCGATTTGTGCCGCGTGGATCGCGCTCTGACATTTTCAAAGGTGTGAACGTTTTCCCGCTTTGGGAAAATCACCGCTGGAGCGACGTGGCCACGACGGCCACGTCGTGGCAGCCTAGTACACGGTGGGGACGGTCTGGTTTTCCCCTATTGGTCCGCGTGGCGGCAGTTGCGGCTCGACGTGGCGAGCTTTCCTAAATTGTCCGCTGAGATTTACTTCTCAGGAATCTCCCACCCGAAACCTATGTCGTCGGATTGTCGACAATCCCGAGGGCTCCCGAGGCCCCTGGGACGCCATTTGGGCCCAGGTTGGAGCTCGGAGGTCGTCGCGAGCTCGTCAATCCCGAGGGGGGCCCTTGTCCCCTCTGAACCGCGAAATTGGGCGGCGTTTTTCGTCCGCTGAGGTACATCATCCCGAGTTATCTCACCAGCCCGCTACGTCCAAACACTGTAGCCAGTGCTTCCGCCGGTGAGATAGGTGAGAAAGAGGGTGTATATTATTCGCTCATGCCTTCGCTCAATGTACTCTTGCTTCGATAGTGCAATTCTCGCTCGCTCACTCAATTGCACTCGTAACACAAGGCATCCTCTGATCCGATCTGATCATCATCCAATCATATACAGCACATTCGCATGCTGCGTGTGGGAGGCCGAATTTTCGCATGCCCAGGCATGGTACGGAGCTGTGTGCGTTCCTGTGGTGCGCTGTCATGGGATGGGATGGTTCAGTTCGGTTTCTGTAAACAGGAGGCTTCTGGTTGCAGTGCTATGTTGTCGTGGACGGTGTACACCTCGACTGGTTTTGTTGATGAGGTGAGCTACTGTACACAGAAAATAGGGGGACTGTGGGTTTGAATGCGCACGTACAGTGCGTAGGTAGGCTGGCGAAATTAATGCGCCTTGTTCGGTTTGGTGCCTTCGGTTCGGCCTACGGCTGGACATTTTTCAGTTGCTCTCGCAACCCCAAGCCATTGAAAGATGTATACATTTATCCCGTTCAGCAAAGCGTATCCCTTTCAGCGTTTTAGTTGGTTCTGTTGCTGACTTCCTGACCTGAGGGAATCACAAATTGGTCATGCTAGGATAAATCTAGGCTACGGGCTGTACCCACTCTCCCTTTCGGACATACAGAGCAGTACTGTATGACGTCGAGTTCCTTCAAGCTTACCTTTATTCCCCATGGCGGCCACAGGCATCCGTCATTAGAAGGACCGATTTCATCGAGGCCATTGTGGTGCAAGCATGTTTCTGCAGAGCAGACGAGAAAGCAAGCTCGCAGGCTGATTTTCCCCGACCATTTCGTTTGACCTTGTGTCTTTTGAGCTCCATGTTTACCTGTTACAGTATTTCTACGGCGACATGGATTGCACGGGATTGCCGGCTTCCATGGGTCGTCGAGACGGGTTTCGAACCCTAAGCGGAGACAGTTCCGTCTTTACTGACACTATTCCGGAGGACACGGCGAATTTTGACACCTTAGCTTACAAAGGAAATCGAACGGCGTCGTCTAACGAGGATATCGAAGAGGAGGATTGCAAGGAGTTACTACTTACGCCGGGGCAAGATGAGGCTTACGAAGCGGTCGGCTGCTGTCCTTCGCTGACCTACAGCGGCGTAAATCCACAGCAGAAACGCCGGCCACTAATATTACCTACAGGAAATTTAACAACATCATCTGCCTGCGATCCCTCTAGTAGTAGTGCCGAGGAAATCGATAGTTGGGAGAACGAGAAAGAGGCGCCGAGAGAAGAAAGAGCGGAAGGCTCAAGGGAGAGTGAGAGGGAAGACAGGAATGAATGTATTTTGGAAGATGATGAGGAGCACGTGTCTAATCATGATGGGGGGCATGCGAGTGATGATGGGGGGCATGCGAGTGATGATGAGGGGCATGCGAGTGATAATGAGGGGCATGCGAGTGATGATGAGGGGCATGCGAGTGATGATGAGGGGCATGCGAGTGATGATGGGGGGCATGAGAGTGATGATGGCCGGTATGCGTCTGATGATGGGAGAGGGTGTGAGTTCGGGCCTGGGGAGGAGGAGGCGGAGAGAGCTATGCTCGAGGAAGCGGAAGAGGCGGCGAAAGGGCGGCAGTCGTGGCTGTCGAGTGTGGAGTGGTTCGTGTCGTGGCCGCTCGGGCGACTCAGCCACCCGTGGCGCAAGGTACGCCGTGAATAGTGGCACCACGCAAATGGCATGTGTGTGTGCATGCGTGCGTGTGCGTGGCGTGCGTGCGTGCGTGCGCGTGCGTGTGGGTGTGCGTGTGTGTGTGGGTGTGCGTGTGTGTGTGGGTGTGCGTGTGTGTGGGTGTGTGTGTGTGTGTGGGTGTGCGTGTGTGTGTGGGTGCGCGTGTGTGTGTGGGTGTGCGTGTGTGTGTGTTTGTGCGTCGTGTGAGGCGTGTTCGTGTGCGTGTGCGTGCGCGTGTGTGTGTTGGTGTTGGCCAAGCCATAATTTTCTTAGTAGTCTCAGCCACCTGTGGCGAAAGGTACGCCGGTAATACCGCGGCACTGTGGCGTCTGTTTCTTAGGCGCCTCAGAATCGGACTCAGCCACCCATGGTGCAGTGCAGCAGGGTACTCCGTGAATACCGCCGCAGTGCTCTGGCGACGGGGACGCAGCCGTGCATGCTGTCCTGGTTCGTATGTACGCCGGGCGTGCGCTGTGCATGTGACCGGCGACCCAGAACAGGTTCCGCAACCTCCCAGGTCTTGGCTGTGGCGTCAGTTCTAGGGGTAGGGGCTACTGGCGGTGGCCATTCTGACGCGCTGGTGTTCACAACGGCAGAGCTGCCTTTTGAGTCGACCCAAAAGTCATTCTGACGCGCTGGTGTTCACAACGGCAGGGCTGCAGGCTTGTGGGATGAGAGGAAAGACACGTGGAGTAACTTGTTTCTCACCTGCCCTCCTACTCCTGTGGTCACATCACACCCCTCCCCACGCCATCCCTCCTTCCCTCCTCCCAGCGTGTGCTATGGGTGTGGGTGCTGGTGGCCGCAGCGATCCTATCGATGGTGTTTTTCACCGCGTGGCAGCATGCCAAGACGAACGAGAAGCACGACCTGGAGGAGCACTGCGACGAGTGGGCGGCGTTCATCGGCGCCAAGTTCAACACCACGATGGCCAACACAAGATCCATGTCCGATTTCATCCGCGCCTATTACCTCGATAGGTACGTGCAGGGCCGCTTCTTTCTTTCCTTCTCCCAGTGCCGCGAGTCTCTTGAGCCGCTAACACACGCTCCATTTCCGACTTCATGCGTGCTTATTACCTCGATAAGTACGGCCAGCCAGGGTAGCGCGGGGCAGGGCAGGGAAGCAGGGCCAGCTGCTTTCTTTGCCTCTCCCACCACAGTGGCCAACACACGCTCCATTTCCAACTTCATCCGCGCCTACTACCTTAATCAGTACGCACAGGGCCACCTTCTTTCATAGATTCTCCCACTGCCGTGCGTCTCTTGAGCCACCAACACACGCTCCATTTCCCACTTCATCCGTGCTTACTACCTCGATAAGTACGGGCAACGTAGCGCAGGGCAGGGCAGGGCAGGGGAGGGCAGGGCATGACACCGGATTTCTTTGTTTCTCCAATGCCGCGAGTTTCTTGATGCGCCTCAAAGGCACTGCGAGAGGGACGACCAAGCTGCGTTGTGCCAAGCTCAACATGACGGCATTCTGAAGCGCCTCATAAAGTGCTTATCGCGGCTAAGCTCAACACACTACCGTAGGTGGTGAGTAGAAACGCGGGATGTAAAGTTGGCTGAGATTGACCACTCTAAAGTCCCGCGTTTCACTCCCGTTTTTTCACATGGTAAATCTCAGTCAACTTAACCAACCTCCCTTCTCACCCCCCGTCCGGTTACTCTGCTCCCTGCTATCCCTTCCTTCCTACCTTCTTGCCTCTCCCTTTCCCCTCCCGCCAACTTCCCCGCTTCTTCCCACGGTCCCACCGGCCGACCCCACCCTGATCACCTCCACCACACCTTCCCCCGGGCAAGCAGCAAGAAGGAGGACTTTCGTGACTTGGCAAAATTCCAGCGGTTCACTCAAGCTACGCTTGATAGCCGACCCATGGCATCATGTGAGTTGCATGTGATTTAAACCCATGGCATCATGTGAGTGAGTTGCGCATCTGATTTAAACCCATGGCATCTAAGGTTGTGTTGAAAATGGATGTGATTTGACCCCATGAAACTTTTAAGTCCTGGTTGTGCACCAAGTCCCCACAACCAGAGTTTAAACCCATTGAACCCATGTGATTTGATCCCATGGTCTTATGTGAGTTGCACGTGAGCTGACTTTTGAGTCGACTCAAAAGTCAGATTTGATCCCATGGTCTTATGTGAGTTGCACGTGGCTTGCATCCATAGGTCATTTGAGTTGCATGTGGTTCTCCCCAACCCCCCCAACCCCCCACTCCTCCCCCGCCCTCCTCCTCTTCGCCCCACCCGTATCACCCTTGGATTCCCAGTCCTCCCCCCCCCCCTCACCCACCCACTGCTCTGCTCCCTCCTCACCCTCCCACCTGCATTGTGCCACCCTCTCTCGCCTGTCCTAATGCTCCCCAAAGAAAGCCTCTGTCCAGCCACACGGCTTCTCATGTTTGCCGCCCACCCACAACTGAGTTTTTCATGTTCCCCATGTGTGTGTATTCCGCCCACCCACCTACCCACCCACCCACCCACCTGCCCGCCCTGTTGTCTGCAGTCGTGGCGTTCACTCTCCTCGTGAACAACTCGTTCATCCGAGACAGAATCGAGAGGACCGCCGGCCATTGCTTCTACGCACCCGAGCCCAACGGCACCGTGTCGTGCCGCCCGCGTGGCTTGCCGCTGTACGCGCCAGTTCTGGTCTTCCATGGACGCAAGGACTTCAACCCACGGTTCAGGCCCATCACTGCTGGATGCTGCTATGACATCCTAGAAGGTGAGTGAGTCAACGGTATAACATATGACTCAACCCCACAGGGTTTTCCTTATCAGCCCAAACGTCTTTCCCAGAATGTTTCTGGGGTCAACGGCACCGTGTCGTGCCGCCCGCGTGGCCTGCCTGCCGCTGTACGCGCCAGTTCTGGTCTTCCATGGACGCAAGGACTTCAACCCACGGTTCAGGCCCATCACTGCTGGATGCTGCTATGACATCCTAGAAGGTGAGTGAGTCAACGGTATAACATATGACTCAACCCCACAGGGTTTTCCTTATCAGCCCAAACGTCTTTCCCAGAATGTTTCTGGGGTCAACGGCACCGTGTCGTGCCGCCCGCGTGGCCTGCCTGCCGCTGTACGCGCCAGTTCTGGTCTTCGATGGGCGCAAGGACTTCAACCCACGGTTCAGGCCCATCACTGCTGGATGCTGCTATGACATACTGGAAGGTGAGTGAGTCATCGGTATGGCAGGGCAGGACTTTCTTTTCTTATCAGTCCAAAGGTCTTTTCTCAGAATGTCGCTGGGGCCAATGGCACCATGTCCTGCCGGCCACGTGGCCTGCCCCTGTACGCGCCAGTGCTGGTCTTCAATGGCCGCAAGGACTTCAACCCACGGTTTAGGTCGACCGCTGGCAATTCTCGACCCGAGAGTCAGGTCGGGTCAGGTCGAATAGGTTCAGGTCGGGTCGGGTCAGGTCGAATAGGTTCAGGTCGGGTCGGGTCAGGTCGAATAGGTGCAGGTCGGGTCGGGTCAGGTCGAATAGGTGCAGGTCGGGTCGGGTCAGGTCGAATAGGTTCAGGTCGGGTCGGGTCGGGTCGGTCGGTTCGGGTCGGGTCGGGTCGGGTCGGCTCGGGTCGGGTCGGGTCGGGTCGGTCGGGTCGGGTTGGATCGGGTCGGATCGGGAGTTCGGATTGGGAGTTCCTACCCTACCTTCTAAAGAGTCTTGCCCTCTCTCCTCCCCACCCAGCCCTCCTTCCTTCCCTGCCTGCCACCTCCCTCTCAGACTCAGCAGTGAGCGACATGATTCACCGGGCCAACGATTCAGCCTCCTCCGTCATGTCCCCAAGAGATCTCAGAGAATCATGAATCATTCCCCTCCACCCTGCCCTCCTTCCCCACCCCCTCCCACCCCTTCTCACCTCCTTCCACCCCCTCCCACTGCCCCTCTTAGACCCAGGAGTGAGCGACATGATCCACCGAGCCATCAACTCAGCCGCCTCCGTCATGTCTCCGCCGTTCATGCGCGACAACTACCCCTACCATTTCATCGGCCAAGTCTTCCCAGTCTACTTCAACCTCACCACCTTCGCCCTGCCCCCCTCGCCCTCCCCTCCCTCCATCGCCATCCCTCCGCTCGCCACCCCCGGCCCCGGGGTGCTCCCTCGGGGATTCGTCATTGCGGGGTATAACTTTGCAAACCTGCGATCGCTGGCGGGGTTTAAGCAGCTGGAGGAGCTGACGACGCGGGTTTACCTGGTGGACGGTACCAAGGGGGGGGCTTGGGATGGTGCGCGGAATGAGACTGCACGGAATGAGGACGGGAAGACTAGTAGATGGATGCCTGCGCTGTTATTTGACCATGAGGGGGTGGTGGATGAGGAGGAGATTGGTGCGTGGATGGTGGATGGGGAGGAGCAGGGGCGGGGGAGGGTGCGACGGGTGGTGCATTTGGGAGATCCAACAAAAAGGTTCTACGTTTTCTGTGAGTAAGTTGCATCTGTGCATGCATGCGTACGTGCATGGATGTATACATTCATGCATACATGCATGTGTACATACACACATACATACATACATACATACATACATACATACATACATACATACATACATACATACATACATACATACATACATACATACATACATACATACATACATACATACATACATACATACATACATACATACATACATACATACATGCACATTCAGAAAATACTGTATCAGCTCTTGCCTTTTTAAACACCATGATATCATACCAATTTACTTGCCTCTGTAATTCAATCCTCCGCATCCTCCCTTCCCACCGTTCCCCTCCTGCATGCCCCTTTTCTCCCCGTCCCTCCGCCCTCCATCCCACCACAGGCACACCTCATACAGGAGGCCGTTCGGACCGTTCATCTGGATAGTAGTCGCCGTGCTCTTCCTCACCGTCTCCACCTTCCTGCTCTGGACGAGCATCCAGCTCATGCACGCCTTTGAGTGCGACTGCCACCACCTGGCTGTGGCACAGCAGGAGCTCCGCGCTGCTCGAGTGGAAGCCGAGGCGGCGAGTCGGGCCAAGGGAGACTTCCTCACCACCGTGTCGCATGAGATTCGCACGCCCATGAATGGCGTCATAGGTAAGTGACTTTTGAAGTGCCTCAATGGTAAGTGAGTTAACTTTTCGTGTGTTTGTTGGGATGCAATGTGTCTTCTTTTGGTGCTGTGCTCTAGGTCGGTAGAGAAATCTCAAAGGCTGATGCAGGCCGTGCCAATCTCCTTGCCCCCATCTCCTCCTCCTTCAATATCACGTCCCTAAGACCAGTAGAACAAGAAATAATGAGAATCGAGGTGGTATGTGGGGTATCGAAGTTTAAGGGTTGCAATAGTTACAATTGACTTCAATGTGACTTCAACAAAGGCTAGAGTGCACAGACCGAATTTCTGCATAGCGCCTCTAAAACTTATCAAGTCGTAATTTATGGCGAAATGGAGACGTTATGATAATTTGATCGGACGGCGGTCTAGCAGCAACTACAGTCTTTGCATACAGAAGTTTGAGTTAGCAATGACTTCCGCCCTTCACTAAGGTCAAGAGTTGAGTTCCAGGGAGCTGCAACAGTGTTACACAGTCCCTACCCTCGAAAGGTCTCAAACATAGAGGTTGAACAGCGCACGTCACATTCTGTTTGCCATTGCTTGTTCTTTCCCAGGCATGCTGAACCTGCTGCTGTAGACCCCTCTGGACGGCACGCAGCAGGACTACGCGGAGACGAGCCGACTCCCCTCTCCCCCGTTTTTCTCCCCCCACCAGGCATGCTGAACCTGCTGCTGGAGACCCCTCTGGACGGCACGCAGCAGGACTACGCGGAGACGGCGTGCAGCAGCGGGCGGGCGCTGTGTGCGCTGATCAACGACATTCTCGACCTCTCCAAGATCGAGGCCGAGAAGCTCCGCCTCGAACGCATCCCCCTCGATCTTCGCGCACAGCTCGACGACGTCCTCGCGCTCTTCGTGGAGACCGCCGATGAGAAGCGATCGGTGGAGCTCGCCGCGTTTGTGGCGGACGATGTGCCCGAGATGCTGATTGGGGACCCGCTTCGAGTGAAGCAGGTGGGTGTTGTGTTGGAAGTACACATGAGCAGGAACCGAACGCGAACCGTTTTGTGTCGGTCAAACTTTTTAGACTTTGTCATTGTTAGCATGGACACCGCTGCACCGATGTTTGCATCTAGTCACTTTATCTGTTGCATTCGTGGCGCGTCCCTTGCTCACCCTGTGTGTGCTTGTTTGTCTGTTTGCTTTTCTGTATGCTACAGATACTCATCAACCTCATTGGGAACGCCTTGAAGTTTACCACCAAGGGCCATGTCTTCATTGCCGTGCTCCTCGCAACCGCCACCGACAACACCAACGATGATAATGGCGCTCCCCCGTCGCTGCTCTCAGTTGCCTCCACAACGTCCTCATTGTCACCCCCATCATCACCATCAGCATAATTCCACTCCAAAGAATCTCAACCCAGGCACCATTCCCTTACCAATTGCTTCGCCAGTGCAAGCAGCCATAGAGACGGGAAGGATACAGCAAGCGAAGATGGAGCCACTGCTGGGGTAGATGGGAGGAGCGGTGCTGCTGGTCTTGGCGATGGCACTCGTGGTGGCAATGATGGCACTCGTGACGATGATGGCACACGTGATGATGATGGTACTCGTGATGAAAGTGAATCCGGTGCCGATGTGGGCACTAGTGGCAGTAGGCCTGTTGTGGAGGCATGTTCTGAGCCTGTATGTCTGACGCTGAGTGGCCGGCCAGCCATGAAGACATGGTGCTCGTGGGAGGCCATGCGGGAGCACATGGACCTTGGAGCCGTGGGCATGGGCATGGGCAAGGGCATGGGCATGGCGAATGATACATGCCGTGGACGCCACGACCCTTGTGGCCTGCCCCCTGACCAGCCTGTGCGCCTGATGGTGGCTGTGGAAGACACAGGTACGCTTTCATTGCATTTGTGTGTGTGTGTGTGTGCGCGCGCGCGTGTTTGGCACGCACGCGAGTGCGTGCGCCTGATGGTGGCTTTGGAAAACACAGGTACGACGATTGCACTCGGCCTCATCATGTTATTCAAAGTCTGATTATGTTGGAGACCATTGATCATGTAGTGAGATGTGTCACAACGCACGCTCAAGCATTCACGCGCTCTCCACTTGCCCCGGCAAGCGGTTCTAGTCCAATTCCTCACCAATCACACGCTCGTTCTTCCTGCAGGTACCGGCATCCCGCGCCACGCTCGGAGGCACATCTTCCGGCCGTACACACAGGCAGAGCGCAGCACGGCACGGCTGCATGGAGGCACGGGCATCGGCCTCTCCATCTGCAAGGTGCTTTAAATGGTATCTGGCATGGGCTTTAAGGTGTGTCTCATCGGCCTCTCCATCTGCAAGGTGCGCTGCATCGGGACAGCTTCCGTGCGAGGAGCGTTGCATGAGGAAACTGGTTGTCATGTGTCAACTGGTATGCACATGCATGGAGGCACGGGCATTGGCCTCTCCATCTGCAAGGTGCGTTGTGGCATTGTTGGGGCATCCTACATCGCTATCCTTCTTTTCCTGCCCATATCCGTCCATTTCCCCACTCTAATCCCTACCATCCATCAAGCCCTCCCTTGCCCTTCCCACCCCCCCAAATTTGCAGCGCCTGGTTTCGATGATGGGCGGATCCATCTCCTTTGTATCAAAGCCAGGCGTCGGCACCACCTTCCTCTTCGATATCCTCCTCCACACACCCCCTCCCCCTCACCCCCATCCGTCCCATCCTCCTCCTTCTCAACCCCACACTCCTCCACAAACCAGCACTTCTCCTCATGCTCCTGTCCCACCTCTCTCCTCTCTCTCACTCCCTTCGCCCCTGCTTACAGCATCTCCAACCTCTTCTCAATCCCCTGCCACTCTCACGCCCACCCGCTCTGCCACTCCCTCCGGCCTTCCATGCATCCCCTCTCCTCTTACTCAAAGCTCTTGCAACGTGCCCCACCAAGGCACAGGAAGCCAGCAGCAGCAGAATCAGGCGGCGTGTGGGTTAGAGGGTGTGTGTGCGGTGAGTGGTGGGAGGGCCACGGGTGCGTTAGAGGGAGTGTGTGTGGCAAGCAGTAGGAGTGGTTGGAGGGCAGCACGGGGATGGGAGGGTGTGTGTGTGGTGAGTGTGGACGACCGGCCGGTGCGGCATGCCGTCACTCTCTCTCTGCTGCGCCGCCTTGGCATCTGCACCCTCCCCTGCCCCTCCTTCCACCTCCTCCCCCGCCTCCTCGCGCAACACTGCTCCCTGCACCATGGGTCATGCCATGCCATGCACCATGGGTCATGCCATGCCATGCACCATGGGTCATGCCATGCCATGCACCATGGGTCGTGCCATGCCATGCACCATGGGTCATGCCATGCCATGCAAGATGACTCATCTGATGTCATGGGCCATCCCTGCCATGCCTTGCACCATGCGGTGCAGGAGCAGGGGCAGGAGCAGGAGCAGGAGCAGGAGCAGGAGCAGGAGCAGGAGCAGGAGCAGGAGCAGGAGCAGGAGCAGGAGCAGGAGCAGGAGCAGGAGAAGCAGAAGCGACTACCCTGCGCTCAAACGAACACAGGACCTATCAGCAACCTCTCATGTCCTCCCCTCAAGCCTCGTCTTGAGCCGTTGAGTCATCCTCTTGAGCCTCCGCTAGAGCCACCTCTCAAGCTTCTTTGCAAACCTCCTCTCGAGCATCCGTTCAAGCCACCTTTCGAGCCTCCCCTCCAGCCGTTGAGTCGTCCTCTCGAGCTGCTGAGTCTCGAGTCTCCTCTCAAGCCTCCTCTCGAGCCGTTTGGCTCGCCGGCTGTTCTTGTGGCTCCTTTCACCTTCCGCCCCTCCGCCTCCACTCCCTCGGCCTCATCCGCCCTCTTCTCCCCGCTCTCTCCCACTCCCCTTTCCCGCCAGTCCTCCTGCCCTCCTCTTTCAATCAGTGTCATATCTTCGAGCGAGAATGGCGAGGGTGGAAGGGAGGAGGAGGAGCGGCGGCATCAGCAGCGGCAGCAGGCGGAAAAGGGAGCCAAGGAGGGAGAGGAGGCAGAGGAAGGAGAAGAGGAGGAGCAGGAGGAGGAGGAAGAAGGAGAGGAGGTGAATGGAGAAGGGGGGTTGCAGCAGCAGAAGGTGCACTACAGGAGCTTGAGCAAGGAGGAGAGGCGGGGATGGGTGGGGGCGGTGGTGGTGGAGGGGGAGATGATGCAGCGGCTGGGCATCACAGCAGATCAAATCCACGCTCTTATGATGGGCCAGGGGGGGGTTGGGATGACAGGGTCTGGCAATTTGATGAGTGAGCGAGGGCAGATGAGCGAGCGAGGGCAGATGAGCGAGCGAGGGCAGATGAGCGAGCGAGGGCAGATGAGCGAGCGAGGGCAGATGAGCGAGCGAGGGCAGATGAGTGAGCGAGGGCAGATGAGCGAGCGAGGGCAGATGAGCGAGCGAGGGCAGATGAGCGAGCGAGGGCAGATGAGCGAGCGAGGGCAGATGAGCGAGCGAGGGCAGATGAGCGAGCGAGGGCAGATGAGCGAGCGAGGGCAGATGAGCGAGCGAGGGCAGATGAGCGAGCGAGGGCAGATGAGCGAGCGAGGGCAGATGAGCGAGCGAGGGCAGATGAGCGAGCGAGGGCAGATGAGCGAGCGAGGGCAGATGAGCGAGCGAGGGCAGATGAGCGAGCGAGAACAGATGAGCGAGCGAGGGCAGATGAGCGAGCGAGGGCAGATGAGCGAGCAAGGGCAGATGAGCGGGGAAGGACACATGAGTGGGGGCAGGGAGGAAGGTGCGGAGATGACAAGGGAGGGTTTGAGCGGGTGTGCAGTGGAGGAGAAGGCGTATGGCAGCAAGGGCAGCAAATGCAGCAGCTGTAAAAGGTGGCCCGTCCCCTTCCTTGTGCTTCTGCACGGCTCCCTCCCCCTCCCATCTACTTCTCTTGCCGGAGGCATTTTCGCGAGCGACAGCTTCAGCCCTTACGAGACGTATGCTTATAAAGGGGACATTTCTTGCCGTGAGCCCCACTCGCACGGCAACAGGAAGGTCAGCTATGAGCCGCCACTAGACGGCAGGGGTCAGACTGGAGAGCGGAACAGGGAGAGGAGCAGGGATAGGAGGGGCAGGAGCAGGGACAGGAGCAGGGACAGAAGCAGGGATAGGAGCAGGGATAGGAGGGGTAGTAGCAAAGACACAGGTATGGACAGGAGCGGTGATAGGAAGCACATGAGGGACAGGAGCAGGAGTAGCAGCCGTAAGAGCAAGGAGAAGGGTGGAACAGCTGAAAGAGCGGAAGGAAGGGCGGGTGGGATTGATTGTGAGTGTAAGCAGGGTGACTGTAACGATGTGACGAGGGGCTGCCGAGGCAGCAGCAGCAGCAGCAGGAGGAGCAGGTCGCCTGCGCCCTCCCTCTCGCCCTCCCCGTCCATCCCCTCGCTATTGTCACTTGGCTTTGATGCCGTCGTGAGAAAGCCTCTTCGGAAACCGGCACTGCTGGCGGCGCTTCTGCCGCTGTTCCCTGTGGGCCCGGAGCAAGGTGAGTGTGTGGAGGGGGGTGAAGGAGAAGGAGCAGGGACGAACAAGGATAAAGCACAGGGAGGGTTGAGGGGGAGAGACGAGGGTCATACTGTGGGAACGAGTGTTTTAGTGAAGTTCAGCCGAGATACTTCGCACCAGCAGCAGCAGCAGCAGCAGCAGCAGCAGCAGCAGCAGCAGCAGCAGCAGCAGCAGCAGCAGCAGCAGCAGCAGCAGCAGCAGCAGCAGCAGCAGCAGCAGCAGCAGCAGCAGCAGCAGCAGCAGCAGCAGCAGCAGCAGCAGCAGCAGCAGCAGCAGCAGTCTTCTGAGGCGCCTCAAAACCAGCAGCAGCAGCAGCAGGAGCAGCAGCAACAGGTCTCAGAAAACACGCCACACGTATACCACCGGCCTGTCAGTATAGACTGCAGTGACAGTATCAATCGCCAGGGGCAGGGTGAGGGGCAGGGGCAGGGGCAGGGGCAGTGGGGTGGTGAGGCATTGGAGCTAGTGAGTCCTCAGCAGGTGAAGGGGCAGTGGGGGGGTGGTGTGGTGCTGAGCCCATCGGCCCTCCACAAGGCTGGCAGCAGCGCTGCAGCGGCCCTCTGGCGAGCTGTGACGTCCCCCCGACCACTCATGTCCCACCAGTCCCTTGCTTCCCCTCAGTCGCTCAATTCCCCTCACTTGTTCAAGTTGCTCCGATCTCACTCTCCCACCTCTCCTACAACTCCCACCACTCCCACCACCCCCACCACCCCCACCACTCCCAACACTATCACCACCCCCGCTTCTGACGCTGCCAAATCCAAAGCTGCCAGCCTTGTGGTGGCACGAAACACGTAGCCAATGCCAACAGTGGCCATGCTGCCTCTCTACCGGGAAAAGGGCTGATGGTGTGTGAGGAGGAGGCATCGCTTGGACGGCAGCAGCAGCAGCAGGGCGTGGATGGCAGCAGTGTCTCGTTGGCCAGTCGATCTGCTTCCCTCGAACACCTGATCGAACCGGTTGCACCTGCTGCTGCTGCTGCGTCGGGGGGCTTGGCTTCGGTTGCCGTTGGCGGTTCAGCAGGTGGAGGTGGTACGTTGATGGGAGGTAGGGGCGTTGGGAGAGGCACCAGTGCTGGGGAAGCACCTGGTTCGGGTGAAAGGATGGCTTGCGTGCACGGGTCAGCAGGTGAAAGGAGAGCAGCTGGGCGGTCCCGTGTGAGACAGGGTGATAAGAGGCATAGCACAAGCACCAGTGCTGCTGGTGGCAAGGATGGTGCTGCTGTTGCTGCTTGTGCTGATGCTGGTGCTGGTGCTGGTGCTGGTGCTGGTGCTGGTGCTGGTGCTGGTGCTGGTGCTGGTGCTGATGCTGGTGCTGGTGCTGGTGCTGGTGGTGGTTGTGGTGGTGGTGGTGGCAGAGTGAGTGGGTTTGAGAGTGTGCTGGATTTCACAGGGTTCTCTCCCCCCACGTCGTGTTCCTCGGTTGGCACACTGTCCCCTGCCATTATGTCGTTTGAGGCGCCTGAAAAGTCCTTATCGGTTGGGACTCCATCCCCTGCCGTTACACGCACGCCATCGCCATCACTCTCACCAGCCCCAGCACCAGCAGCATTCCCAACAGCAGCACCGCCAGCAGCATCAGCCCCTGCAGCAGCAGCAGCGGCAGCGGCGGCTCAGGAGCCGGCGACGGTGGGGGAGGGGCTGGCGGTGCTGTTGGGGAGGCGGGTGATGGTGGTGGATGACAACCTCATCAACCGCAAGGTGGCCAGCAAGCTGCTGGAGAGGCACGGCGCGCGAGTCACCGCCGTGGATGGCGGCGCCAAGGCGCTTCAAGCCCTCGCCCCGCCCCACCCCTACGACCTCGTCCTCATGGACCTCCAGGTGAGAGCAGAAAGGCAGAAAGAATTATCAGGTGGCTTTTCAGGTGAGGGGAGGGCCATGAAGCACAGACACCACCCCTGCAGGTGAGCCAAGGAGGCGAGGGGAAGATGTGTGGGAGGTGGGGAGATGGGCTTTAAGGTGGGTCAACCACCCCTTCCACCTCGTCCTCATGGATTAGCATCACGGCCAATGTGACCTAGGGTTCAATATGGCAGCATCAAGGCCTTCCATCCCTCCCATCTCTCCGTCCCACCCTTCCAGATGCCGGGCATGGATGGGCTGGAGGCGACTCGGAGGATCCGAGCGCGGGAGAGGGCTGAGGGCGGGGGGCATGTGGCCATCATTGCGCTCACAGCGGATGTGATTGCCGGCACGCGCCACCACTGCTTTGCCGTCGGCATGGATGACTACCTCTCCAAACCCCTCGAGGAGGCGCAGCTCTCCAAGGCCGTCTGGCGCTGCCTCGCCCATACATGATTGTTGATACACTCTAGTCTAAGGGCGTGTTCCTATCCTACGCCCCCTTATTAAGGTATCCTCTTATCAGGCTCGCTTCTAACTGCACTAAAACACTAGAAGCGAAAGGCATTGTACCAGGCAAGTCAGACAAGAGGTTTGTCTGATATGAGGTGTAGGAACATGCCCTAACTTTTGGGCTTCTGTAATTTAAATTCTGCCTGCTTTCAGTCCATAAAATAGAGGGTGCTGCAATTGTGCCTCTTGAGATACTTCTGTACCTGCTGCCTCTAATTTGCACTGATGTGTTTACACCTAGTAAACAGCCCTCACCATGTCAAATACCTTTTGGTACAGAAACAACCCCTCCTTTTCTGGTACAGAAACTGACTACAGCTTCAGGCATGCTTGGTGCTGCGGAACTTCTTGTACCACACTGTACCGAACTGCACAACTGTGCGAATCTTGTTTTCTCGCAACAGGTGACTTCAGATGGTTTTCTGTGCGATGCAGCCCTTGGCGAACTCTATTTTCTTCCAGCAGGTGATTTTCAAGTGGTTTTGCGCGAGACACGGCGAAACGAACATCACAAATCTTCCCTCGTACACCCTCTATCTCGCCAGACTGACATTGGCCATATTGACGGACCGGCTGTACTGACATCAATGCGTCCAGAATGGTCCCAGAACATACCATATAAGCACATTTGCCGCACTCAACCGTACGCAAACGCAAGTTTCTTCCATAAAACGTTGTGTACCGTTCCTCTGGAGTGCATTTGCCCGCCACCCACCTGGCGTTCGGTTGCAAGCACAAGATCGCTAGGGTCCAAGCAACAGTACGCTAGGGTCCGAGCAACAGGACGCACTGTAGCCAGTGCTTCCCATTGTCAGTCTGGCGAGAGAGAGGGTGTACCATTTGGGATGCTTCAGAAGTTTCAAGAAGAGTGCTAGAACGGTTTAACGAGGTTATGTTAGGTTTCGGCACGTAAAAGTAGCCACTTTTTGACAAGATGAACTGTGGCACCGAAATCTGGCCTCACCGAACTGAACCATTCGAAAAGCCCGAATGCTGCCAGCGCGGTTCTGAGTCACATGCGGTGAAATGGGATTTGGAGCATCAGTAGAATTCAGGAGAAATTCGAAGAGAACTGATGCGGCGTGTTTGCCTAATCAGCACGCATTATCAGTTGAAGGCCGACATCCAGGTGCATGGCAGGAACCAGTCCTTTCCGAGACATGAGCTACACTAGACATGAGCTTGAAGCAACCTGGGACCGCCATCGCAAGTCGCGGCCCGCGAGTGTCCTGGCATTTGACACGAGCCGCGTTTCGAGTTCCATAGCAGCAAATTCCACGGCAAACGCAGTCTGGCGCTCGTGCCTAGCCCTCAGCCTTGCGTGCTGATGTTGTTCGTCTTGCGTGCTCAGCCCTCGAATAGGCAGCTCGACTGATTATAAAGGCACCTGCGGTTTTTTTCATAAAGGCACCTGCGGTTTTATTCAGACAGTTGATCCTCCATTTCATCGCTAGCGCTACTGATAGTACCTCCTGAAGCCGCCATGGCCCAGATGTTGCTGCGACCTGTGCTCGTCCTCGCTGGTGAGTTTTAGATTCGCTGATTATGATTCTTCGATCCTCACGAAATATAATATAGTCTAAACCTTTCGTGACGAGATGCTGGTGGTCCCTCTGGTCACCAACGAATGCTTCAAGCAACGAGTTCCTGTCAACTCTGCTCGCCCGCTTTGCGTTACTCGGCAAATTCTTCGTGATTTGCCGAAAATCAAGTCCGGATAAAACACAATCAGTTAGCTGTGATGCAATCATTCTGAGTTTAGTAGTGACGCCTTGTTAGTTGATAAACCTAATATCTTTCGTGTGCGTACCCCCGTGCAGTGCTGCTCTCTCTCACCTGCAGCGCCATCGCCGGCCGTCATTTGCTCCAAACTGACAACACTTTCTGTACGACACACTATCTTTGTTGCCAGCACTCTCTTCTTGAAGCACTCTCTTCTTGTCCGCATCCTCTTTCTGTACGCCCTATCACGTTCGATACATGACTGGCAGCCTATGCTCCTCCGCTTCTTTGCCATGATTCCGTCTACTTTCTCCTGTTGTTTCTCTCCCTTCTCCGTCCCGCTGGAGCGCAGACCACGCAACGTCTAACATGTGCTCTACGGGCAAAATGACAGCTTCGTGTACGCTGGATGCTAACGTGTAAGCGTCACATCACGCTGAATATTCACTTGACCACGTTTGCTTTCAGTCTCACCGACTATGTTCACCTTTATCACGCATTCCGAGTGTAGCATGAATGAGCCTGCAGAACTTCGTTCTATATCGTCCTCTCATCCTCCCAACCTCCTTCAAATCCCTTCTCCTCCCCTCTCCCACCCTCTCCTCTCCCCACCCCCACCCCCCCCCCCCCTCCTGTGTCCCCATGCAGCACAACCACATACCAGGTTACCAACTTCACTATCCGCGTTTCGGGTGCACCCGTCTCGTCTGCCACAACAATCACCAATCCGAAAATCTACACCTACGGCACTGGCAACACTGTGGTCGAGTTCAACTGCACATTCACGGCGGATCCGAAATCCAGCACTTATAGCTGCAACGTTGCAGAAAAGGTGTCACTCACTTACGCGTCCAAGCCAGTCGGCACCTTGAAGGCGTTGATCGATGCTGGGCTGCTCAAGAATCCTCCGCCCTTGCTTGTTTCGGTTCAAGTTAGCGGCGTCACCAACATCAAGGGGTCGGTCTCAGCAACTGCGACCAGCTACTGAGTGATGTATTCTCGAAGGATTTTCAGTGGTTTCTTTTTGTGTCTTTGGGTGTTGGATCTATATGTTGGCATTGCTGCTCGAATGGCTATTTTCTGATTCATAACACTGCAAACAATCCATCCTCGTGTTTATGTTCACGGCCAGCCTTGCCCTCCTTTCTAGTACCCACATGCCTCATCGGATAATTGGTAGGGAAAATATAGATAAATCAAATTGCTGCAATTACACACCACCAGCACCATCAGCAAGCTACAATATGCAGCCCACCATGATTCAGATAATATTTCCACCTACAGCCCCTTTCTACTTGGTTCATTTCCCCATACTCCACTTCCATCCACCCTCACCTTCAATCAACCCTTCCAGATCAGGGCTGACGTTTCAAATTTATCAGAATAACAATGCAGGAATGATTGGATTAGCAAGAGTTGGGGTACAAGTACTAACCCTAGAAGTGTTGTACCCCATAAAAAGTGCCCCATTATAGCCTACAAGTAAGATTGTACTTTGACACACCCCCATAGGCTAAGTGGGGGACAACAAAACGGTCACAAGACCAGTCAAACAAGACAATAGAGCAAAGCAAAGCAAAGCTCAGGGTGGATCTCAAGGACACCACACAATCCGAGCACAAGCAAGCGGCCACAAAGCCAGTTCACATGCAGAGTTATAATAGGAAGGCAGTACACTGATCACAACCTAGCAGGAGGAAACATGCAGGTATAAGTATACATGTCAGTGTACAACAAGTGCAAGATCAAGAGACAAGGAGGTGAGGTAGAACGGGCCGAAGCCCAATAGCAGTGCAAAAACGCTGAAGATCACCAGACCCGAGGGCCTTGGTGAAGACATTAACAGTGTTGGCCCGAGAGGCCACGTAGGAAAGGCGAAGCTGACCACGCTGCTGCAGCTCTTGAGCAACAAAGTAGCGAAGAGCAATGTGCTTCGTTCTGTGCTCCAGTCTCTGGTCCCGACACAAGGCAAGCATTGCCTTGATTTCGACGGACAGAACTGGAGGAGAACGATGCCGCTCCCCCAAGTCGGTCAACAGGTAGGCCAGCCAGCGTAACTCCTGTACAGCCATGGCCCCAACGTAGATCTCGGCCTCACAGCTGGAACCAAGCACAGAAGAAGAACGAGTAAACCTCCACGAGACAGAACCAGAGCCAAGACTGAAGGTGTAACCCTGTGACCAACGCTGAGTCGCCTGGTCGTCAGCCCAAGAAGCGTCGGATTGTCCTGTGAGTACCACTGGACACTGTCCTCCAAGCACGAGCCCCATGCCCGATGTACTGCACAAGTAACGCAGTACCCTCTTCGCAGCATCAAAGTGCACCTTTCGGTGTCTACCGGGAGCCACCTAGCGAGCCAGGAGGTTGAGAGGGTACGCGAGGTCGGGACGTGTGCACGTCATCAGGTACATGAGGCAACCCACAAGCTCTGGGTATGGACCACTCGGCTCTACGGACTCGTCCAAAGGTGGAGCTGAGAGCGAGTGGCCGGTAGACAGAAGAGTGGGCTGTGGCGAGGAGTACAGGAAGCCGAAGCGCCAAAGGACCTGGTGCACCATGTGTGACTGAGTCAGGGTGATGGTGCGCCGTGCTCTGTCTCGGGTGATCTGCAAGCCAAGATAGCTACGCAGCTCACCCAGGTCAGTGCAGGTGTGTCTCTCCTGTAGCTCCGCCTTCACTAGGGCCAGTGCCTCAGTGTCAGCAGTAGCAAAAACCAAGTCGTCGACGTACACGAGGATGTAGAACGGCGGCAGGGTAGTGTCGGTGCGTAGAAACAGCGACGGGTCAGCAGAGGAAGGAGCAAACCCAAGAGCCGCAAGTGCAGTCCTCAGTGTGTCGTGCCACTCACGGGGTGCCTGGCGAAGACCATAGACTGGCCGCCGGAGGCTCCACTGGGTACCCGTAGGAAAAGACCCAGTGAAGCCAGGTGGGCGGGGCAGCCAGATCTCCTCGTGAAGGCTGCCCTGCAAGTAAGCTGTGGAGAAGTCGAGGGAGTGCAGCTCGTAGTCACGCTGTGCTGCAACTTGTAGCAACACCCGAAGAGTAGTCATCTTCGGGGTGGGGGAGAAGGTCTGGAAGAAGTCGACCCCCTGTCGCTGACTGAAGCCTCGAGCAACGTAACGCGCCTTGAAGGCAGGCGGAGAACCCGGCGGCCGCTTCACTCTGAAAATGCACATGTCATCAACTATGTTCGCCCCAGGAGGAGGAACCTCGTCAACGTAGGTGTCTGTGGACTTCCAGGAAGCCATCTCTGCATCCATGACTGTCTGTCACTATAAGGAGTACTCACCCGTGATCGCCTTAGCGTAAGTGCACGGGCTCGGGATGTCCAGTGCATCTGGGTCTCCCTGAGGCCAAAGTAGCATGGATGCGAAACGAGGTAAAGCGGCCGCAAGACACTCAAGCTCAAACTGTATGTCTTCAAGGATGTCACTGCCAAGGGCGGGCTCACCCCCGACGGACGGAGGACAGACAGACTCAGACTCAGTAACAAGACTCGCGACGTAGTCGAGACGACTCCTAGCAGCAAAGTCGACTAGCTCAGTGACTATGGCAAACGCAGCAGTAGACTCAAAGTCAGGGTCAGTGACGACAGTAGCGAAGAGACGAGTGACAGTAGGAGTGGCAGCACGAGCAAGGTCAGACTCAGGGTCAGGAACGTGCAGAAGAGAGGACGTGGGAGGCTCAGGCAGGACAACACGCTGTGGAACAGTGGAAGGACGAAGTGCCATACCGTGAGTGCCTGGGACAGCAGGAGGACGTGGACGGGCGACACGACGAGCACGAACAGGTGTGGAAGCACGAGTCTCAGGCTCGCAACGCTCAGTCAGGGACTCAGTCACCTCAGTGTGAGGAGCAGGAGCAGGCAGCAGGGAGCCAGGCAGTAGCTGTGGCTGAGACTGGTCTGTCTGTGGACACAGGAGAGGTGGAGTGAGGCCAGTGGAAGACGGGAGACTAAGAACCTGGCGAAGGGCTGAGTCAGGCGGCAGGGGGGACGACTGCGGCTGCGGGTAGAAAAGCAGTCGGCGCGGGGGAGTGCCAACAGCTTCAGCTCCTCCAGCACCAGCAGCTCCAGCACCTCTAGCACCAGCAGCTCCAGTAGCACCTCCATCACCTCCAACACCAGCAGCACCACGGGCTCCTGCAGCGCCAGCACCACTAGCACCAGCAGTACCTCCAGCACCTCCAGTGCCAGCAGGTCCAGTAGCACCTCCAGCACCTCCAGCACGAGCAGCACCACCTGCTCCGGCAGCTCCAGCACCTCTAGTACCTCCAGCTCCAGCGCCTCCAGCACCAGTAGCACCTCTAGCACCAGCAGCACCACCAGCTCCGGCAGCTCCAGTAACTCCAGTACGAGCACCTCCAGGACCAGGAGCTCTAGCACCTCCAGTACCTCCAGCCCCAGCGCCTCCAGCACCAGCAGTACCTCGAGTACCTCCAACACCAGCAGCACCAGCACCTCCAGCACCAGCTGGACCTCCAAGACTAGCAGCTCCAGCACCTCCAGTAATAGTAGCACCTCCAGGACTAGGAGCTCCGGCACCTCTAGCACCAGCAGCACCTCTAGGACCTCCAGGACTAGCAGCTCCAGCACCTCCAGCACCAGCAGCACCTCTAGTACCTCCAGTACCAGCAGCACCTCCAGCAGTACCTGCAGCACCTCTAGCACCAGCAGTACCTCTAGTACCTCCAGCACCAGCAGCACCTCCAACACCTCCAGCAGTAACTCCAGCACCAGCACCTCCAGCACCTCCAGCAGTACCTCCAACACCTCCAGCACCAGTAGTACCTCCAGCTGGGTCACCCATACCTCCACCGCCACAAGGACTCGCAGCATCCCCAGAGGTAGCACCTCCAGGACTAGGAGCTCCAGCACCTCCAGCACCAGCAGCACCTCTAGGACCTCCAGGACTAGCAGCTCCAGCACCTCCAGCACCTCTAGTTCCTCCAGTACCAGCAGCACCTCCAGCATTACCTGCAGCACCTCTAGCACCAGCAGAACCTCTAGTACCTCCAGCACCAGCAGCACCTCCAACACCTCCAGCAGTAACTCCAGCACCAGCATCTCCAGCACCTCCAGCAGTACCTCCAACACCTCCAGCACCAGCAGTACCTCCAGCCGGGTCACCCATACCTCCACCGCCACAAGGACTCGCAGCACCCCCAGAGTCAGCACCCTCAGTCGCAGCAACCCCAAAACCCTCACCCTCTGTCTCAGCACCCCCAGAACCCTCACCCCCAGGCTCAGCACCAGCAGTCTCAGCTCCAGAGTCCACAGCAGTAGGCTGCGGAGGTGGCGAAGACGGCCGAGGCGGAAATCTAGGGGGAGTCTCCAAGCGTGGAGAGCGGCGAGTGGCCGCCGTGTCGTCAGCGGCGGGGTCACCCCCCTCAGCGGGGCCAGAGGAGTCAGAAGAGATCTCCAAAGGCTCAACCAAGGGGGGTGGGTCTACTTGAGACACACCTGAGGGAGAAGGACCCTGTGGGTGGAGGGGGTCTACCGGGGGGGGGACTGGTACCAGGAAGAGAGGCGCTAGGGGGACCGGGTGGGACGCGTGCGGGTCTGGCCAGTAGAAACAGACAGACTCGTCAAAGGTGACGTTCTGGGAGGCGAAGACTCGACGCTCGCGCGGGTGGTAAAACTGCCACGGCGGGGCGTAGGTGGGGAAGCCAAGGAAGACGCAGCGGAGAGTGCGAGAGGAGAGCTTGCTCGCTTAGGCATCGCGAACAAGGGAGAGCGCGCCCAAGACCCGAAACACCGACGCTTCGCCAACCTTCCCTGTCAACCGGAGTGTGGGCGAGGTCTCTGGCTCAAAGACATGGGGCCAGAGGTTGAGCTGATGCGCAGCGTATCGGACCGCAAACGGTTACAGAAAATGGGGAGCAACCGCATGGATCATGGAGGTACGAGCAACCTCCATGATCAAGCCAATGCGATGCTCAGCAATCCCATTCTGCTGAGGAGAGGCCGGAAGCGTGAACGTCTGGCGG